GTGTTTTCTTGGTGTGTTTGTTCGTGTTTTTGGTGTGGCAGTCTATTTTCGAGTGCCTGTGCTGGCTTGTGTGTTTATGTTCGTGCCTGTTGGGTTCTGACCTGGCGGTATGGGGTGCAGTGAATCCAGCCTCTTCAACTGTTCAATACTTTTTCTGCTGTGGTTGGATGGCCGAAGGCGTGACAATGCACGAGCGCATGAACTGTGTGAACACATCGAACAATGCAAACAAAACCTGCATTGACCCATGCCCATTCTACGTAGTTGTTTTTCTCTGGAATGTTCTAAGTGCATTCGTCCGCACTGGCCGGACGCGGCACCGCAGAACATTCCGCATAAAACTAAGCTGGTGCCATCATGTGGTTAGTTCCAATCGCCCCACTGCTGGGCACAAGTTGCCCCTTTTTGCATGGGAGCACTTTTCGCCGGGGCCGTGACCTGGCAAAATGGCTCAGCTGAGGTGGTCAAAGCTGTCACTGAGAACGACTTCCTGAAGATTGCTGCTGCAACGCGCGGGTTTGATGTTATCTTGGGTCTAGTTGCCACAGCACAGGGGGGGTGCTAGGTTCTGAGGCTACACCACTGAGGTTTGCAATACGCGGCAGAAGAACCCCACTATTTGTATGTAGGTGTTTGCTTGATGCGTTTGTTTTCGACTGTCATTTGAATGCTTTGTGATGACATGCCCCTGCGCAGGAAAGCCGCCAAAAGCAGAGCTGTACTGCACAACACGCAGGTGATGATGAAGGATCTGTCACAGTTCCAGCCAGAGCTCATCCTTGCTGCTGCTTTGGGTCTTTCTGAGCATATCGCGGTGGCCAAAGCTCTTGGGGACGTGCCATTCATCTTCCTAGCCATGCAGGTGATTGTTCCCAGCAACTACATCAATGTGCTGGGTGTGCTGCCCAGACTACCGCGCTTTCTGAACCTAAATCTCCGGGTATGGAGGTTTATCGTGAGTCGCTCTATCCTGGGCAAGAAACAGTCCTCCAAGTTCCTAGAGGTCTTGGAGGGCATATGCAAGATGCCCAAAGAGGCCCTCCAGGTTTCCTGGGCCGAGTTTGCCGAACACTGCAGCTGCGATCCCCAGTTCCCCATTTTTTTTGCGGTTAGCCGAAGGGTGCAGGGACCATTTCCACCAGACTTCAATGAGCTTTGCCGAGAACTGGGGCCGCTGACCTTTCAGAGCCACCAAGAAATCGGCGCGGACTTCGGGGACCACAAGGCCATGGAGGCAGGGCATCTCTGCTGACGGCCGCTAGCCCGGCAGCAATGGTTGATTGGTTGGTTGGTTGGTTGGTTGGGTGGGTGGTTGACAAGTCGGTCTAGACATGAACAGTTGGTGCTTCGTCTTCTTCTTCAGCCCGGTCAGGAGGGTGTGGGTATCATTCTAGGTTTTGCACAGTTTCAACACACACGGAGATAGTACAGACGTATTGCATGTATCCCCTCGCTCATTGTACCCAAAGACGATAAGTTTATATTGTGGTTTGGTTGCTATGGATGGGAGGCATCATTTTGTTCGGCCCTGCAGGATTTTCTGGCGAATGCGGAGGCGTGCGGCCGGGATCAAATCCGATTGTTCCCAACAAAGGTTGTGTCGATCCATGATGCAGGACGCAAGCAATGGGTCAACACCTGATGTCATTCCCTGTAAGTGTTTGATGGCTTTTGCCATGCTCAGCTTCCACCTTTGTCCAGCACACTTACAGATTTTGGTCATCGTTTAACGCTTGCGCTCGTTTACCCAGCGAAGCTAGACAAGCAACACACAGTTGTAGGCGTTGGGAAAGAGCTTCACGACTAGATCTGCTGGGCTTCTGCCAATTGCCAGGCAGTTCTTGCAACAATTCCGAACTGGCAGCCTCCAATCCTCTTAAACGAGGCCTCAACGGATTTGTTTTCTTCTGGAGGCAGGTGTGTTGTTGCCGCCCCATCCTCGAAGATACATCTGCCTCATCCGATCCTGGCGGATTGATCTGCAGGCGCCCGTTTATCTGGGCTACGGCTCCATGGTTTGCCGCTCTGGCAAGTATATGACCCTTCTGAGTCTCCGCGCTCTTCGACGGACGGGTCAGCGAGGCTTGGCTGGGTGCATGAGTCCTGAGCACTGATGCCAAGCATGGCACAATCCTGAGCACCCGGGAGGTTTTCGTCAGTGTCAGGTCCAAGTGCCACACAACATCCATTGCTGGGGACAATCTGCACATGCACAACCATCCATTGTAAGGGAGAGAGAGAGAGAGAGAGAGAGAGGGAGAGAGAGAGAGAGAGAGAGACGCAGCAGGCAGTCGACCCTTGGCCGAACTTTGGAGCCAGGCGTCGTCGCTTCTGGCTGGGCCGGCATGTCGCTGACACACCTTGAGGGTGAGGAGGATGCAGCAGAGCTTGAGGCATATTGTGCCTCATACTTCATCGCAACATGGGTTCGTCATGGTTCGTCCCAACATTGAGACCTCCAATGTCTTGCTCATGTCCGTTGTTGCTTGTTTAGTATGTCGTGGTTCAGGCATCCTTTGAAACAAGCATATTTTTACGGAGTGAACGAAGCCACAATCCAATTACACCACCAACCGAGGATGGATTAAATCATGGTGACACAGTAAGCATACACCTTGCTTCAACACAATTTACATCCTCATGCCTATCATGAGAGCAGCTGAGCTTTGGCCCCTCAACACATAGCCGGGTAGCAAGGCTCTATTGTTTCCTAGCGCCCAGTTTGTGGAATTCGGCCATGTTGGACAAACCCAAGCAGAATTGGCCCAACAGGATTTCATTTGACAATGTCACAACATTGTCGCTGAGGGCTTCCATCGCTAGCTTCAGAGCCACCAGCCAAGCAGCCTTGGAACTGATGCCATTTTTGCATGTTTTCGCCATGAGAGTCGCCCTTCCCGCGCCGCGTCCGGCTCGGAGTCCGAGCCAAGGCAAGGAGAAGGTGCTGTTCATGGACGATGCGCCGCACGCCAAACTCTTCCCCCGGTGCAGTGTCCTGGTGCACCATGGAGGCGCCGGCACACTCTACGCCGCAGCCCTGCAGCCCTGCCGCACCTGGTAAGGTGTGGGGAAAAACCCGGCAATGTGGGCGTGGCGATTTTGAATGGACACCCCAAAATGGCATCGGCTTTGCTTTTAGTAGCCCTTTAAAGCCCGCCAAAAGAAGGGTACCCTCTAAAGAGACGCACCCATTTCCTGTGTTCCGCGTTTGTGCTGCCGTGCCGCAGCCCCTTTTCATGGGGTGCTTCCAAACCAAATCCGAGGAGCGGTGTGCCCAGCGTGGTGGTCCCGGTGCTGCTGGACCAGTACGTCCACTGCGCGCTGGTGAAGGACCAACACATCGGGGTGGGGCTCAAAGCCATGAAGACGGCGACGCCGGAAGCGTTGGCTGAGGCCATCACGAGCCTCGGATTCGGTTCGCAAAGCGGAGAGGTTGGAAAGGCGTAAGAAATGCCCTGCCCTGTGGAGGATGCTTCGGACCGTGTCTCAGGCCTGTTATCCAACATAGCGGGACATCCGAAGTAGATCATGCGGCCCGGCCAAAGCCAGCCAAAAAAACTGAGACTTTGACATTTTTTTGTATGACCTGTATGCGTTTTTCACTCGTAGCTGGTCGAAAGCTGTAAGAGTTGGCGGTGTCAAAGGTGGCGCAACTCCCAAAGCGCAGATCGAAACGAAAAAGGAGTCCAAGTGATCGGTGCTCGTCAGTTTTTGAGTCCCTTGGTAACATCGGAGGGGATCCGTAGCAGAGGACCTGCCTGGAGAGTCCCCAGATCCGCGCCAGCGCCTCGAGCTTGGCCCACAGCCTCCGTGAAGAGGACGGATCCGTGCGCCTCGTGGCGGAGGTGAAGAGCCACTCGGAAGTCGGGCTGCGCTCCTTGTGGGGTGGGGAAGCCTTCGGGGGGCCGGCCACCTTTTGCTTTTTGGGATGACTCCCTCCAATCCTTTATGGCTATTTGGATCCATTGGACCCACAAAAAGTTACACTTTTTGCAGAGGGGTCAACAGCAAACAAGAATCGTACGCTCGAATATTGTTCTATCACAGAAAGGTGACGGTCGGGGTAGTGTTTGTGAACAAGTTGAGTTGCGCAGCACCTCTGATGTTTGAGCGGGTAAAGAGGATAAGGCTTCTTGACTGCTGAGCTCAGGCTTCTTCAGGGAATTTGTTGACACAGGGCTCTACCAACAGAAGAAGCAGTCTCTGCGGGAGCGTCGGAAAACCTTGCTACAAAGAATCCGAGAGTGGCTGCCATGTCCTCCGGGCCGTTTGGCCAAGAAAGATGGATGAGCTCGTTCTGAGCGTATGACATCCGCACGAACTCTATCTCCAAGTGGAGGAACGAGGGTGGCTGGACGGCTTTGACTGTGCTCGATCAGCTCTGCATTTGCTGCTCCGCCATATTTTTTTCTGGAAGCTCTGCATTTTTTCCACGTCCCGCCGCGAGGCCAAAAAAACAAATTCTCTTGTGCTCGCCGCCAGCTTGCAGCAGCCCGAAACAAATTCACCACGGAGTTGTCCACACCCGACATGCCGTGATCAACTCAGAAGCGAGCAATTGATGCTAAAGGTTTGCATCAGCGCTCAACTTCTTGGCACATCCCAGTTGCAGACCATTTTGATGCTCGGCACTGCTGTGTCATGCCGCCTCAGCATGCTCTTTCCGTTGTTCCCCCCCAAGGTCCTGATATTTCCTTGAAGCAAAGGGCCATGAAAGGTGTGGGGGCACGCCAGCCAAAAGGACACTTTGTTTTGATAACCCAAAACAGGACCCGCTTCTCTTGGCCCAAGAAACCAAAGAGCAAACCAAGGATTGAGCAGAAAAAAGGTGGGCCCGCTGACTTTGTCGGCCGCTTCTCGATGTCATGCGGCTAGGCTTCATCAAGCCGTTACTCGACCTGCACCTGCCCTTCCAGCTCGCGTGCGGTGCTCGCGCAGGGCAGATGGGATAGGAATGGGTTTCAAGGACCGAATGCTGCATCGGCACAGGGGCTGTAGCAATAGTCCTTGGGGAAGACCTTCTCGTGTTTTGACGAAAGTGAACAATGCCCACAACAAGCGTGGCTCGGTGCTTTTTCCGGGCTCACTGAATTTTAGTGGAGATCAGCGTGTCATCAGTGCTGTTTGTTTAGTGGACAGATGGCAAAGTATTGTCGCCAGATTCAGCAAGCCAATGTGGGGGCTGTCGACTCACCAAGCGCATCTATGGTGTTGAGTGACGCCAGTCAGCGTCGCAGTCACAGTCAGAAGTGGTGTTCATAGGAATCGGCAAAATAGTCAGTCATTGATTTATCGGCCTATCATGAGAGACTTCTTCTGAGTCAGATGGAGTAACATCTACACTATGGCCCTACAGGCGTCTGGAGAGACGTCATCCACTTTGTCCAAGGCCGCCGCAGCCATCGCCCAGAACCTTGCCTTTTCTGGGCGGAGGCCAGGCGATCCATCAAGTCGGCATCTGCGAAGTGCCCTGCCACGCGGTTTTCATGTGGTCCCTGTTGAAACCGCCCCGCCCCTCACCCAGTTTGCAGGGTGTCAGGGTCCAGAAACCTTGTGGGTAGAATTCTGGCGCACTCCCGGAGGCGATTCTGTGCTGATGTCCAGGTGCTAGCGCCTGGCTTCCCACGAGTGAGACGGACGTGGACCTCACTCATGAGCTCGAGCGCCAGCGAATGCAGGCAGGGTAGAAAGAAAGTCACTCGTGTGGTGTCAACTCACATCCCAAGCCGTCTCCACTTCCTTGGCTTCCTTTGGCCTGGCCAATCCTGAAAGCTCGGGCGGGTTTCTGTATTCGATGCGTGTATTATGCGTTCTGGAGACAACTTATAGCCTTGCCAATGACCAACTGCAGCGATTTGTCGAAGCAACGGCTTTTCTCACGGTGATCCAAACGAAGCTAGTCTGCTACATGAAATCTGCTCCTCTCGACCTTGGCTGTTTACTCATGTCGCAGTTGGTTGAACTCCCAAACCTGTCCGCATAGTATGGCCAACGCTAAGGGTGGTCAGGCAGTATCACTATGCAGGGATGATTGATTTTAATGTGCCTAGCTTCTAGCATCATGTTTTTGGGCTGGCCGAAGTCATCTATAAGACAAATCGTGCAGGCAAGTTTCTTCCCGAGTGCCCAACAAGTGCGTGGGTTTTGCAGCTTGTTGAATTGTTGGAGTGCACATGAAAAAGCGACCGTTGGCATGCATTGCGTCACAAGGCAGGATTGAATCAACAACTTTCAACATACCGCCTGAACTCGCTGTGTCATTGCAGACATCCAGTCCTCACCAAGATCGGAAGTCCAACTTGACAAATCTCCTGCACCAGACCCACGTTGGCGGATGTAGTGCGACCTCAATTTTGCAATGACGGCCTTTGTGAATCTTGCAGAGCCTGGAGGTCTGATGTCTTGCAAGAGATGCGTGCTTGGAGCAGCTGAACAAGGAACCCATTTGGGCATGGGTCAAAATAGGGGACCGCAGGTTTTAGTCTATGTGACCACATACCAGGGTTCAATTTTGGGTACCTATTTTTGACCCACAGCCATTGTCACACCGAGCTTTGCCTTCTCTGCATTCCTGAATCGCTCGCGCGAGCGACGATGTCCCAGGCACGGCGAGGTGGTGCTGCCGGAGGCAAGTGGGGGCCAATGGGAACTGTCGGAAGGTGCTTGGCGTGTGTTTTCTTTTGACTTGCTCCACTTGCTTCGCTTAGGCTGGAATGGGTTCTGCAAGGCTTTGGCCTTTGCTTTCGCTTGTTTCCTTTTCCGCATGTGGTCTGCTCGAGCAGAAGGCCATGGATCAAAGCCTGCGAATCGGCCTGAGATGCCAAAACGGGCCATGCCTTTCAGTGCGTGCGTTTGTGAGGAATTGGTTTGTCAGAAACCTGAGCACTGTCAAGTGCACATGGGTGCAGCTTGAAAGGGACACGCAGCTTGAGCACTCTGCGCATTGTCCTTTTAGCCATCTAAGGGTGGTTCAAAGGGAGTCCAACGGAAACCACCCATTTTGGGGTCCCCCCTTTGTTTGACACATATCCATGCGCAATGGTTTGGCATTTGCACGCAGGCAATGACGATCCCATGCTGGCCATGAGCCAGTCACGGCTGCAGGAGCTGAAGAGAAAGCTGCAAAGCTGCACTTGGCTTCCCAATGGAAACGGGTCGATCCTGTTTTTTTAAAGACATTTTTGTTGTTGAAAGGACAACTAAAAGGAGAACCACCAATTTGGGGGGTCTAAATAGAGATAGACCCATATACTCCTATGCTCCACTCTCTTTGTGTGGAAATCATGGCATGCACATGTCGGGGGATGAAAGCCTTAACGTACTGACGTGCATCGCCTTCTTCCTCCAGCATGATTCAATGCTCTCAGTATCATCACAGCAACATGATTTAGCTTGCTTCAGCTGTCAACTTGAATCTCCAGGAACAAGCAACTGATCCATGACCAACCAAGGATGCATGGAGACAAAACTTAACTGGGTTCCATTACAATGGCGAGCATGGCTCATAGCTTCATCCAACGGCCAGTGCCTTCTCATGATTGCTTTTGCTTTTCTGTGCGGTGCCTGTGTCTGTGCGTGCGCGCGTGGGGCATGGGGCACAGCGCACTGCCGCCTTGTCGGGTGGCGGTTTGATCATATGTAACTGAAGGGCTGAAATCGGCTGAGGGTGTTCAAGGCCCGGTTTAAGGCTGTTCGCATGTGCCCTGCCATGGTGCCCCTTGTGATAGAACATGCTGATGCTGAGACTTTGAGCCCCGGCCACCCTGGCCACCCTGGCCACCCTGGCCACCCTGGCCACCCTGGCCACCCTGGCCACCCTGGCCACCCTGGCCGGACCTTGTGTCCAAACCAAAAAGCGAGCATCGTGTAGCCCACGTCTCAGGTTCTTGTTACCCTTTGCCACGCAGCGCCTGGTGAACGGCGCCATGCAGATGCGGCCGTGGTTGCCACAGGAGGCCCCGTCGTACGAGGCGCGCTTGGGAGTTGGCGCATGGAGCTACGTGTGGCTGCTATTGCCGAATTGTTCGGGATGAGCATGTTGCATACTGCGTGCGGAGCTTCCATTGAGAACCACATGTTCGAGCAATTATTTAATGTTTCGTGATGTATTTGACTGTCGATTGATCCCTTCTTTTTCCTGTCCATCTATGTGGTGTAGCCGAGTGTTTAATTTTTCGAGCTTTGGCTTACTGTATCTCAGGGAACAGGCCCGGAAAGCTCCGTTGATGTGGAGGCCCCAGGCAGTGTTTGCGCTGTAGCTGTTCGTCCGTGGAGCTGCCAGGTGGTTTGTTTCGTGCGGCGACACATGAGCAATCGCTTTCATGTCTCGCCAGGTCTTTGAGGGCCGCCAGGACCCGGGGTGGGCAAAGGGCAGTCAATTCTTTCATCCTGGCTGCTTTTCTGCCTAAGTGACATTGAGCTATGGCTGTTTGCTTTTGGACCTTTCCGGCATGAAGGTTGCAGAACCAGTTTCTGACTCTGGCGAGAAAAGCCTTCCACAACATGATCAGGGCAGATGCGTTCGGTAGTCCGACATGTAAAGATATGCCAGCAAGCATTGTAACCATGCCAGGGTTAAAACACCTCAGTCCAGGGATCGTCAATCCACGGGCGTTCATTCAAGGGCTCCATCGGCCGCATGGCTTCGGCAGGTTTCACCTGTCGCCGCCTCAGTGGAAGAGATACGGAAGGCGGGGTTGGGAGAGTCGGTGCCCCGGTTTGAACGGGGAGGCTCAGCCACAGCTTGCAGTGAATCACATGTACAGCAAACTGGTGCCTTTTGAGGTGCTTGTGTTACAAAGAAGCCACCTTGCTGGTGCTTTTGATAGGCAATGAACACTTTGGGATCATTCCCCTAAGCCCTTGGCTTTTCCCTGTTTCTTTGATGCAGGCTAGTCTTTTTGGCGACGGGTCGGCAGCCTGCACCCGCCAGGAGTGCGTGAGACTTGCAAAGGGGCAGCGACTCGGCCAAACGGCTGCGACCTGTGGGTGCTGCATGTGTCTGGATCGCATTGACCGATGCAGGCAACTTTTCTTCGCGTGTCCAAACACCGCGTGAACCGTGGATTTGTGTTCCTTGATTCCTTGCGATACGCGTGTTCAACTAAGTGATTGCCGACAAACCTATCGCCAGTCTGATGCCAGTTTAGGATTGTAGGATGACCAACATTCCACAACTATTGGCATTGCGCTCAAGAACCACTTGACCTATAATTGGGCTGAACGCGTCTAGAGGTGCTGATTGTTATTGGGTGTTTCACCTGTTTTTGTCCTATTCCATTCCAAGACTTCTGAGTGACGTGGGTCCTCCAGTGGCTCACTTCAAAAGCTCGTAGACAAGAGTTTGCTGTATCAAAGTCAGTGAGAACAACTTGCTGGTACTCAGCAGGGAATGAGGCAATGACGCCTAAAAAAAACATCCCCTATGGTTTCCTTTAGGAGAAGTGCCGCAATAGCCCCGCGGCCTGCAGGAGGAAGATCCTTGCACGGCTCAGGCCACCAACATTCGTGAAAGTGTGCGAGGGCGTCACAAAGACCAATTTATCAGCAAACAACCATATATATATATATTTACATTGAACAACCCCCAACTTCATGAACATGTTTTGTGCTCCGGCCTGGCAAAGCATGACTGATCTGAATGTGTAGATTTATTGTCGCCTTTGGTTCAACCGGGCGTACAGAAATCGTTTGGACAGCACAGCGCTCAGGCTGCCCTTGGACCTCCTCACACGCCGGCCGAAGCCGCAGATGCTGAAAGCCGTGCGCGCCCGGCTGGTGTGCCATGATCAGGCCAGCAATTTGGAACTGGCCGCCTGAAGCAAGAAGCTTTCGCCCCTATAAGAAAAGCATTCTTTCTGGTTTATTCATGTATGGCTTCAAACCCATTGCAGAAAGGGTCAGAAGCTCCAATCTGCTCTCGCTGCAACTCGTGATGTATTCCCCCCGATGGTGGCGAAAACCAGCAGCCGGGCGGTGACTTGTTGAGATTTAACAGACGTGTGAGCCGGAATTCCCAGAGCCTGAGCCCCGCAAGCTACCAAAATAGATGGCCAAACCAACAAGCAAAATGAGCAAACACCGTTGTGACGGGCGGCAATTACTGTAGCCAGACTTGCATTCAGCCCTGAGGCAGTGAGGTGTGCAACCAACTTGTGGGCAGCTTCTGTGTTCAATCTTGGGGTATGCATTGATTTCATCGTCGCATCTTTCAGCACCTTTCTGCTTGTCCTGCAGGGCGATTTGGCGATGATTTCTGGCATTCTCTTCGGCAAAGAGCTCACTTTACCAATGGATCACAGCTGTGAAGGTTGAATTTCCTGTTAGCATGGTGTCTTTTCCAAGTGTCCTGACATGGCGACGGCTTCGGATATTGACCTCCACGACTGCGAGGTGCGCCTAGCTGGGCTGCTCTCGCACTATCTGTACTGGCACCTGTTGGGCCAGGTGAGGTTGCCGCGTTTGACGCCGTGTGAGGTATTGAGGTAATTGAGGTTGCTAGCTCACACAAATGATGAGCCATAGTGATACCAACATCAACTACAAGATAACGGGCAAACACTTTCAAGTAGGAGTGCTGGAAAAGGGCTCGGGCAGATAGCGGTAGTTCTGAATGAGATTGGAGCCTGAAGGAGTGTGGCGACGTGGGGAGACGTGCAGCTTTTGTTTGGTTTCCGTGGATTGGACTGAGCTTTGGCTTTGAATTCTTTGTTGGGTATCAGGCGGTGTGCTAAACCACATGTATTCAGTTTAGTATTCCGAATTCCAAGGCTGACATGGCGTGAACTTCCTCTCCCCCACGCCCCGAAGAGACGCGGTAGGGTGGCGCCGAAGGGCAAGGGCAAGTCAGATATATTACATTTGTATTTGTATATATATATATATATCATGGTCATGGTGATGGTAATGGTGATGACGTTAGGACGAAGCCTTTGTACGGACATCGCCCGCTTGTGCCGTGGTCCGAGCAGATTGCGTGAAGGGTTAGGGGGGTCAACCTTGAGTAGGTGCTTTGGACAAGCAATTTTCTGGGCTTCTGGCCAACACGTTGTGATGAGTGTCGTACACGTGCGGGGGGGAAGGGGGGAGGGGGTTTACCATCCCTCGACGCTGATCCTGTCATCCCGCCAGGAGCGGCAGCTACCAGCATCAAAAGTGGAGGCTTTGGTCAGGAGCCCGAGGAGCATACGACGATTACGGCAAGCAAGCACGAGGGAGTCCCTGAGCGCAGGTTGGTGGATGCCATTGCACACAACACTACTTCAGCCTGTTTTTGTCGAGGCCTCCAAAAGCAAAAGGAAGCCATGCAGAAATAGATGCCCAATCGTATCGCAGTTGATGTAGGTGGCCCATTTTGAGTGGCTGCATTGGTCTCAGACACCCTTTGCAGCCCCCAAGCTTGTTTTGACGTAGGCTTGCCTACCAAACAGGCCTTGAATTGAGGGTGCCTCGACAGTGAGTAGATGCATGGTGCCCTTAGCTCGACCAACTGGTGCTTCGTGAGGGTTTCTGCACATCCAGCCATTCAGCCAGGAAATGAACATCCAAATCAAGAATAGAAATATAGATTTCCTTGAACACTTGTGCGGCATTTCCACAACATCATGTTTGGGTGTGGGACGTTAAAGCAGAATGACAAAGATCCACAGCATGCATGTTCATGTTTTGCAAACTGACTCTTTTGTCTCGGGTAGAATTGGAACGGCTCTCCAAGAGAACTGCTGCTTCCTCACGCCAGAATGTGCCAAGGAACCCAATGATTTGCCACAGTGCACCTAGCAATTTGTTGGGATCAGGTGAGACCAGTGCTTTGGATGCAGAGAACCAGCCTTCGGACAAACCGACAAAGTTGTCATTGCACTGCACATGTCACACCGCCCGTCTCCTGTCAGCAAGCTGATCGCATGATTGGCAAGTTTTGCTAAATTGGCCAGGGCACCAAATTGGAGTTTTTGTGTGGCGGTCTGACAGTAGGCATCGCTAGCTGAATCTCAGAGGCCGGCAATCGTTCAGCTTTTTGCGATGGAGACATGGGTATGGGTCAAAAATAGGTACCCAAGAAAGAACCTTGGCAAATGGAACCAAGGACTAAACCTGCGGTCCCCTGGTGGTTTAATTTCGACCCATACCCACATCACGTCCCATACGCGACCATCCGTTGAAGCGGTGTGGTTCAGTGAGGTCATCAGCTCCCAAGAGGTTTGGGCCGCTCTCGTCCTGCCCTTTCAGGAGGGGGGTCCCGGGCAGTTGGCTTCGAGTGCAAAGACTGCGGGGAGCCGCGATATGTAGCGAACGCTTGGAGCTCCCGACTTTTGGCGCACACACACACACACACCGTGTTCCCATGGTAAATGCAGATGGGACAAGCCAGCAAGTCTGTGCCCACAGACTGACACCAACCAAAAGCAAGGGATTGAGACGCGGCCAGACGGAATGATTGCATATTGTGAAAAAGTGTCGCATCCACATCATTGAGTATGGCTTCTACGGCGAGAAAGGTGGGCGTTTAAGAGTCTTCAGTCCCATGATCTTCCAAATGCAACTGGTATTGGAGGGACAGCGGTAGCATTTGTTAGCCCAGGAGGGGCTCTCTCCAAATGCCAAAAGGACACCAACCAGTTTAGGGTACACCCCCATTCTTGCGAAAAGCCCAGGAGCCAGTGTGTTGGGACTGGGCGAAGGCCAAACGCCGAGCTTTCCGGTTTTCAGGACACGCCGAACGGGGTGGGCTTCGCAGTGCCCGCCATTTTACTGGCGACGAAAATGCCTCCTGGCAAAAAGTGGCATTTGTAACTGCGATGTCCAAAGGTCGTGGACCAGATATCTCGCATTTGGCTGACTGCTGGAACATATTGCTTGACGAGGGAGTCATGCGAAATCAGTAAGATGCATGACGGCTGCCCCTGGTAGCACAATGATGTGGTGGGTTTCCTTCCGTTGCCCGGGAGCCCACTATGACAACATGGACCAGACAGTCTGCAGTTTGTAAAGGAGGCCGCTGGGCTGTGGTAGATCTTCTTGAGCTTATGGTGATGCCAAGCGACTCATCGCCAAACACCAAAAAGAAAAACACCGTTTGGGCCCCAACAAACGACACCCATTTGTGCACTTGGATTCCAAAGAACTCCTTAGCTTTGGCCTCTGCTGATACCTTGTGTTCATCGGACCATCGGATTGGCAGCTGTCAGGTGTCCAACCATAGAGCGTTGAGTTCTCCTTGAAACAGCCTAAATCAGCCAATTTATTGGCGACCCCCCACGTTTCTGCCCTCAGGCTCATTGAGGAGGTGTTCAAGCGCCAGTATGAGGCGCATGAAGGGGCGACTGCGCATGTTTTTCCCGCGGCATCCCACAGAGGGCGTGACTTTGGGCCAGTGTAGCAATGCCATTTGGCGCACGTCTCACAATGCCCCAGGTTATGTACAACGGCATCGTTTCGTACACCAAGCTTGCAAATCAACCATGTTGAATCTTGAGAGCATTGTGCTCTTTATAGTCATGCTGAATCGGGTTTCGATCAGTTGCACTCGTTTGTTTGTTTGCCGCCTTCTCGTTGCTCGCCAGCTGTGTTGACGTTTTGCCTTACAAGAGGTTCTACAGAAGATGGAGCCGATGTTTCCCTCTTGACCGCCGCAGACGGTACGAAAGACTAAAGGCATAGGAGGCTCCGCTTTTCGGGAAATGGTTATTCTTGGACCGCTGCCTACCATGCCTCGAGGACATTTTTCGGCAACAAGCTGCTCACAACTGCCTCATTGAGGAGCGGCTTAGAAGTCTTTTGGCCTTCTCTTGAGTTGGATGCATTTGCCCACATTGGCTTGAACAGCTGCTTGACCTTGCTGAGAATTTGATGCATGAATTTGGTTGTGTTTTCATTTGGAGTCCAAGGTTGGTGGATGTTGGTGGTGCTGTATCGAGTGGCAGAATGCGTGAGAGCTTGTGTCCAAAGACCACGGGGAAAAACAGACTCCTCGGACTCAAACAGTTTGCAGACAGAGCCTGCAACCTTGTTAATCTGCGGCACGTTCAAACACGGAAGCCCGGCATGAGGTGGTCAACCAAGCTGTCGATCCAATGCCACCGTATTTTTACCCTTGCGCATGGTGGATTTTGAACGGGTCAAGCACCAAACCTGAGACATGTGTCCGGCAGGAGATCAACTTGATGTGCATGAAGCTCCTGGACGCTGATTGCACCTTCGCCCACTTCGCAGCCCTGGACGTGCAGTCCGACGGCAGCCGCTTGTGGCGCAAGCTCCAGGCTTAGAAGTTGGGAGGGGAAGGAACGACCCACGACTGGAGGCCTGCGCAAGATGCATGAACATCTGGGTAACATCAAGTGACGCGACTTGGGATGCCACATTTGTCTTTGTCTCTTCTTCTAGGTCGAACTGTACTGCTTAATTGCTTCGGCATTCTCACAGAAATGCAAGCGGCACAGTGGCTCCCCACAGAACTAGTGTCCCGGTGTAGCATGCAAGCCCCACGGTGGCAGTATATAGTCTAATGTATATATATATATATGCACATACTACATAACATATAATGATATATACGTATAGATACATACGTATCTTGCAATATTTATCTATATGTACAGTCCCAAACATTGGCGCCCAGTGTCCCGGTTCATAGGCTTTGCCCGGGATGACGGGCACAACCGGCGGCCATTATTCAAAGACTGAGATGGGGTTTTCCACCGGGAGCAAGCAAGCCACGTGGCTGGGGCAGGCAGTCCTGGAGACGAAGCAGAGCGCGGTGTCGCGAGCGCAGGCGACGATCTATGGTCAAAGCTCGCCCGTGTTGGATCTTCTTCAGCAAGCAGCCCAAGAGCGGAGATTATTTTGTTTGGTTAGTCCCTTCTCAAATGGCTCAGCAGGCAATTGCGAAAACTTCCGGCTGAAAAGTCGGTGCAACGAGACAGGCTGGGCTTCGACACTTGCGTGTACGCCATCGGCGACACAGAGATACCAATCACTGATGCACAAGCCACAGGACCAACACTGACAGTGACAGACTTCAACTGTACATACTGTACTTCTCCGATGTTGTGCTGCCTCGGATCGGGCCAACAACACCAGTTGTGACCACTTTGCAATTGTTGCCATCAAATGTCATCAATGGGAAATCGTGAAAGGGGTTGGCATTGTTGTTTAAAGCACCGTAACCCTTGTGACCATCATTCTTGACATGATCAAAGTCACCTCCTAGTGCTAGGTTAAAGGGATGCAACAACCCTTTTTCTGACTCTGACAACCCCCAGAAGCCGTCAACAAAACGACCCCAGCATGGCCCAGCCTACCCGGGTGACTGTCACAGGCCCGCTCTTGTCGGACCTCTTCGTTGGCCTGGCGCCCCAGTGACACCATCGTTGAGCTTGGTGCTAAGAGAGCAGCAGGATCTCTCAATTCATTTCTGTGAGCAGTGGTCAGTCACATTTTTCACCACCTGCAAAGGGTACAGGACATGTCACAGAAGAATCTTGAAGGAAATGGGCCTACTCGCTATGTTCCAAAACTCTGCAATTCGCCACGTCAATGGAAACTTGCCAGGCTCGTGTAGGCAAAGGAATCAGCAGAATGTCTTGGCTGTGCTTGGTGAAGAGAAGAAGAGCTAACTTGAGAACGAATTGCTGGCAAGGAAGCGCTCCAACTGATACGGAAGACATCCTGCACCGCCTACATGAGAACATTCTATGCGCGCCTCGCACTCCTACCTAACAATTTGTTCTTTAAAAGGTACACACGCCCAGCCGCTCGATTGACAAACATCCGGCACCACCGTCATGCGACGATGTCCAACATTGAACCAGAGGCGCGGGTACTCTGTTTTTGTGGTTTTAAAGGTAACCAAAAGGAACCGAGCTCTTTTCGTGGGTCCCCAAAAAAACACAAAGACCTAGACGCACACCACGAATCCCCCCCCCCCCCACGAGTAAGCTCCCAGCTGCTAAGCTGCGCCGGGCCATCTCTGGCGGCACGCAGTGCGGCGACCCCCGCACGCGGAGGCTGGAGAATGAGCGAGACAGGTGTGACATGCCCTGTGTTTGGTTTTTTGGATCTTTCAGCCTTGTTGACATTTTGTGGACAAGGATTGCCTCACAACCTCCCGTGATGGGACATGTTGGATATGTTGGATTGGTTGGATTGCCATACAAAACGCGAAGATGGGCGCACGCAATAGGCAGCAAGTATTCCTGTGAGAATAGGGGTGGCTACTGCACTGTGGCTGACCCGCCAAATGATCTCCTTTGGGGTCAGACATGTGAGGCAGATCAGGCATGTGGAGAGAGCTGCCCATTGCAAGGCTGTTGGCGACTGCCAGTGCTGCTCTCAGCACGTTCTTTCTCGGAAGTTTGCTTTTGGAAAAGGATGTGGTTTGGTCCAACCAGCGGTGCTTGCATACCGGGCCATGGTGCGCCGACATTCAACTGCGGTTTAAACTCAAATTGGAAGTTTACCGATTCCTGATTACTCACAAAGAGCAAGCAAGGCGATTGACTCTGTTGCAATCGTGCCCCTGGCATTTATCAGGCTTCTGCCAACAAGCACGGCACGGCAACTGAACATGGAAGCATTCACGAGAAGATGAGAACACCTACAAACTTATATGTGTTTCATCTGCTGACGGAACCAGTGGACAAAGCTATATGCTGGCAGCCAGCAGGTCACGGCAAAGACACGACCGGAAGCCGTTTCTTTCAGTGTTCACAGATGCTGATCGCAGCTCAAGAAGGCATACAGGGGCACTAGGGAAAGAACCATCCAAGATCCATGCAGCAAGGTTGACATTTGCTGTCGGATCGCTGGAAATGTCTACCGTGCTCCCTTCTGGAAGTGAGCCATTCCACTTTCGCTTGAGGTAGCAGCGAGGTTGCTTTTCATGTCTTCGGCTTGGACGAGCCAAGGTGAGCCGACGAAGATGAGCCCGAGTGCTGGACAAGACAGCAAGGAGGAGACAGTTGGGTCAACCCAAAAGCACAGGACACTATTTCTCAGCATTGAATTGGCAATCAGATGATTGATAGGAGTGTTGTCTATCAAACAGAATCAATGTGGCGTTCGAGCTTTCGCTCAACTACAGTGTAAGTCAAGCGCATGTTTGATATCATGCACTACTATTTCACCAATGCACATATTTACTGTGCAAGCAGGCCTCTAGTTGTTCTGAGTCGTCTTGCCCTTGGATCTTTTGACGGGCCTCACAGTATCTAATCATGTTGTTCTAAACAAAATCATGGTGACTCATCCAAGCGATCCAAGCAATCCTCCATGCAACTCATGCTCGATTTGCAAACTGGGCCACGTGCTTGTTCCACACTATTCTTGCTGGTTCCTATGGTTTCCTTTATTCGGGAATCCCGTTCCGGTTCATTCCCAAGCCGTACAATTCCCAGGTTCATTTCTTTTAAGGGACCCTTACAAACCAGCCCTTTGGAAGGAAGAAATGCTCGCGAGCAACCTGTGGTTTCCTTGAAGGGAATCCCTAGGTTCATTCCCAGCACCCGGACTCGGTCATTCAATACCCATCGCAGCAAGTTCGCAAGTTGCTTCCTTTGAGCCTTAATACCATGGTGTGATGTCTCTAGCCGAACGTGTACCCGAATTTCAGTGGCTGCAACAGGCACTGAGCAGCAGCAAGTGGCTCCTCGGCTAGGAGGCCCAGCGCCGTGTGCAGCACGAGCGCTGGCGCGCCGCCGCCCTGAGGCGCCAGGTGCCGGCCTGAACAGCTCTGTCTTTGGGTACCCTTTAAAAGGGGTTGGGTTTTGCTGGATATGTTCCTTAAAAGGGGTTGGTTTAAAGGGTTGGTTTAAAGGACATGTTCCTCTTCTTATTGTTTTTTTTGGGGGGAGTCTCCTGAAAAAAGGTACACCCGCATGGTGCTGCCGGCGACTCAACGGATGCTGTGATATCGCTTGTTTTTACTTTCCGTCAAACATGAACGAGAATCATCAGAGAAAAGACTCGCTAAGGCAAAGTCGGTACACTATTGCGTCCAGGCGGCTTCACACGTAGCGTGTTGTTGTCGAAAAGGCAGTTTCCATGCAGAGTAGCCGAGTGCAATGTGGTGTCACCATGGCGTCTTGCAGCCACTCTTAAAGTCGCATCGGTAGGAAGTCGTATCGCTTTGAGTACATCTGAGAAGGAGTGTATGGAACAAGACTGCAGCCGGCTTGGCTGTGCAGCTTTTCGTCCACAAAATGGCAAGTTCTTGCCCCAGTTGACCAGGGTGTTGCACTGACTTTTTCTTCCCTGTGTACCGTGTCCGTGGCGTTCGAACGGGCATCCTGCCGCTGATTGCTGGTTTGTCCATTGTGCCACCTGAGCTCACGTGTCAAGGGAAGAATCTGTGTGCGACATGGCGGCTCATCCTCAGGATTGTTTGGCATTTTGTGTTTGATGCGATGTTTCATGGTTGGACTTGCACCTCTCTCAGCGCCGTCTTTGTTTAATTATGTTCGACCCATTTGAGGAGTGTACGTAGGTGAGTTTCGCAGTGCAGCGCTGGCAAAACATTAAGGCAGTTTCGCGTGCTTGGTTCAGGAGTGGTCAGCATTCTTGTGACTTCCTGTCCACCTTGGATTTCAAGACTTCCCGTGGTTTGCCGAGGGATTCAGCATTCATGCAAGTAACGGTCGATATTCGCAATCTACTGCAGCCAGGGGGCGATTTCCCTTAAAACCACAAAACCCGGGCACCCTCGAAAAACACACCCACATTGAAAGTGGCGTACTCAGTCGCGCAACACAATTCCTTAAGCAAGAGAAGACCGCTCTCCCGTGTTCCAAGATAGCTCCTTGTGGTTTGGGTCCTGCGCAGGTCTCCCGACCCGCGTCCGCGGATGAGGTCATGGTGCCTTGGCAAGGCTACCCTCCCATGTAGCGCACGGACCAAAGTTCTGGACTGCTTTCCTTCAAAGCACGAAGCCTGTTCAACATGTTTTGATGGAGAGTACGCTTTTCGGACTCCGAGGCAAGGCGTAAGATCCCCTCACCAAGACGATTTGTCCTTTCAGACAAGGTTGGAAACTTTAGTACGTGTTGTTGCCAATGCATTTGCCAATTCTAGTTCCAGTCATAATCCCACATTGCCATTCGAAATACTCAAAAACACAAAGCCAGAAACTGCATTCATCTTGGTACAGTTTGCTGAAACAAGCAAGGTTTAACAAGCTCCACGCCCCACGTTGCCCTGGCCTTGTTTGGGTAAGGGATTGCAGAACAGCCAGCCCTGCGCCGCTTGAGCGTCGCCCAGGTGGCCAAAATGTCCCGCAGCAGTTCCGCACCCAGACAGAGGCAGAGGCGCATGGGTCAGCCATCTGTGCCGAAGGCTGCTTGAAACGTTACGGGTTCTTGCTTCCTCGGAAAATTTTCTTAAGGAGAGGGGGCCCCTCTTGGGACTCCTTTGGGTTGAGACCTTTTGGAGTTGGTTTTGGCTTGGTGCCACTGTCTCAGGTGTTGCAAAGCTCTTGGCTGCCGTTGTTTAGGACTAGCTCGAGTCTGTCTTGAGTTGTTTCGGCCAACCCTGCATGCATCATATTAGCCTCTCTCAAAATCAAAATAATGGTTCCCTCTCTTTGCCAGGCGGAGTATGGATTCTGGAAGTGACCCAACGGCTCTTTGTCTGTCACAGATTCAGATAGCTCTTTGAGAAAGTAGGGTAAAGTCCTATCATTGTGCAATGTCGCCTCATCCCAGTGGCGAAATCAGAGTCCATGAATAGAGATGATGCTGCAGAGCCTTCAAGACTGTTTGGTTGCGTGGGTATGTTTAAAGTGAGCACGCTCTGGGTGGCAGTCATGACCAAAATTAACGATTTCGCTTGCAACCGACAAGTGCACGTTTTCTACGTTGATCTATTTATTCTGTGCGACATTGCCGTGGAGCGCCCCATGTTTGACCGGTGCTTTATGGGGAGACCACCATGAACGGGGGTTGGTGTTCTAGCATCCCTCGGGCGTTTGGCATTTTGCTGGCAGGACGAAGAGCACGTTGACCAGCGGCTCCGCGTGTTCTCTGCGACGATTGGCGTGCTCCAGCGCGGGCTGAAGCCCAATCACACATCTTCACCTCAACATGCCATTTGACAGGCATAACCAGCTCACTTTGAAAGGCCCACTGACCAACGGCAGCAACTTGACCAGACAGCTCAGGCCAACTTGAGCCTTGCGCGTTGGGCTTCAGGCTTTAGCTAGGACGGTCAGCAAGCAAGCTGAGCTTCAGCGTGGGTACTTGCAGTTACAGATCCTCATGACTGGATATGAAGCAATATTTGTTCGATGGGTTGGAGACATCTCATTGTCAACCTGCTTCTGCTACGGTGATCCGACGTGTTGCTCTTCTTTCTGCTTCCTGTGAGGTGCTTTGTGGAGCAGGGGTTCCCTGGAAGTGGAACAGACTTGGCTGCAACAAAGAGCTTGCCGCACGGCTTTGTGGTTCCTTAGCATTTTTAACCTGGATCCTTTTATTGCCGATGGACTTTACAAGGGCTGTGTATGTTTGGCAGCTGCGGCTGAAATCCAATCACCATCTGAAACCTACTGTAGGCCAAATTATTTCTTCCATTGATCAAGCTGACACAGCCACCGCGCAGAATTGGTGGGACCCCCAGATGCATTTTGCCCCAGGCTTTCAATAGAAGTAGCACCCACCTGCTAGAATTCGACCCGCACGGCGGAGGCTTGGGTGCGGAGGCAAAAGTCAACGCGTTTCAGGATGTTGCGGCTGTTGAACACTGTATTTTGCCTGACAGAGTTGACTGAATGTTGCGAGTTGATCAAAAGTACATGGGTGTGTGGAAAACCACCCCTCTGGGGCCCCTAAAAAATGGTTGGACGTCCCCGCACCCAAGCCGCATTGTAGGCTTAGACCAGAATTCAGTGCAGTGACATCGTCAATGTCCTCACCCTAAAAGGGTGGAGCGAAGTCTTCGTCCAGTCACAGATGACTGGGTGACGGACGGAAACGTTGGCATTTATGCCAAGTGCGGGAAGATCCAAGCTGAAAAGATCGTGTCAAATTCTAGTTTAACTCCTGATTGTGCTGGCCGTTCAACAAAAACTCACCAAGCAGAGCAGTGTCATGCATGAAGGGCTACGTTGGACTCAGAATCAATCGCCAGCAAACGGCTTCACAGAAACAGAGCCTTTCAAGCGGCCTATCATATCGGAACGTTTTGGACGGATGGTAGCCTGTCCAACGCGTTGTACCCGCTGGCTCCTCAATTCTTTTGCATGCAAAACGAACTCACTGAGCCGAAACTGCGAGCCGCTGGAGTTTGCAGTCATGTGCGTCTGAAGTGGTAGTTGTCATCGACGCGCCAGTGCTTGTGTTATCGGGCTTAGTTGCTGAACCACAAGCTTACAACAAGCTATATAAAGGCCAATTGATCTCTACTTGCTGCGCCTTTGGTGCTTGATTGATCAGAACTGTATACTTCTTTGTGATGGCTATTTGTCAACGTGTGCCTTTGCAATTCAGTGCTTGGACGAGTTCACATGTCTCTCAGTTGGCATTGGCCTTTCGAAGAGCAAACTCATCCAACCCACTTACTGCGAGGAGCCAGATGTGTCAGAGATTGAGGTGGAGCGCGCGCACGGCCTTGGCATTCGGGTTATCCACAAAGCCTTGGCATTCTTGGACTGGCCCATTCACAGAACCGGGTGGCATGATCCGTTTGAAGCGGGATCATGTTGATGCGCCCATGAATTCCGGTCAACACGCTCTAAATATTCCATGGTCAATGTGGGAGGGGCAACACGCATCAGGGAAACTCTCCATATTTCCGTGATCATGACGAATAACTACATGCTTTGACCCTCGGCAATGTATTTGTTTGAACCTAAGGTGGCGCAACCTGTTCTGGGGACTCCTTAAAGCTGCCCAGCGGCCAAGCACTTGCACATCGAACCTTCCCGGATGCTCGTGGATTCATCAACATGGCGTTTCAATCACTCCAGCTTTGGCGGCAGCTCTGACATGCTGGGGGTGTGTTGCATTGAGGCTGGCATGAATCCTTTAGAATATTCTCACCTGCTTGTTTGCTCTTGAAGCTCTGCACGAAGTGTGGAGAAGTGCCGCTTTGAGGATTGTTGGACTGAGCGTCCGCCAGCGATGTGTTTCTTCTTGCATGCGCTGATCGCGACCAAACAATGTTCGTCGATTTGCAAGGTTTTTTGCCTTCCAAGCTCCAGAGTTTGCAATCCCACAAATCTGGGTTGCTAACTGGTTGGGCGTTGCGACTTTGCCTTTCAGTTTCAGATTGAGACCCGGGACCCATTCCGGACATTTATCAGAGAACCGCAACGCTGCCAGGTGTTGGGCTTGGCGATGCATTTCCCTCCCAAGCTGGCAACGCTGGCGTGTGGCTTTTGCGGTTGGCGGTGGCACCATTGGAGTTGGCAGGTTGTTGCATTGAATGCCACCGAGGAAGGGGTCGCTGGGTGCCTCGTCCATTTCGGTTTCTGCGAATTGCCGTTGGTTTTTGCTGGGGTCATTATTTTGACGGTTTCTGGTGGTTGCCAAAGTCAGTAAATGGGGTTGTTTCCCTTTAACCCACCACTTAGGGGTGACTTTGATCATGGCAAAATAATGAGGCCAGCTTTTCTCGTTTCAGCTCACAAAAGCCTGGGTTCACCATGGGTCGCCTTCCACAGCCGCGCCAAAGCCGCCCTGCCAGGCCGACACAGGCGGGCCGGCTTTGGCATCGGACGGCAGTCGCCTATCCGACTTGGTCGATCAGACGACCCCACATGCAACAGATTCTCACATGCCCGACCTCCCAAGTATGCAGCTGGCTTTGCAGAAACCCGTCCACCAAACATGAGGGGCAAGCCCTGGGTTTTACAGAGCTGAACGCGGCATGCTTTTGAAAACAGTACAGACATCATATGTGGCAGTTTGTGCGATCTTCATCCCGCTACTATGGACATTGCCAGTGGCCAATCGCTTGTTTTGGAATGATTTCGCAGGCAAGCCTGAGCTGAGCACCAAAGCTCGGTGCCCAAATGCGATCCATGGGTTTGTCATACGAATTGAAGAAACGTTTGCCACGGACAATGTCAAGGCACTATGACAGCGATGAGTGGGAATTACTTATTTTGAATCGTCTAGAAATTTAAGCAGGCACGGTGCCAGCATTAGGCACCTTCCCCTCACGAGGAATTGAACTTGCTCGTGAAAGGTCGAAGGCATCGCTTCAGAGCCAAGAGGTCACAGACATTCCCACTGTCTCGAGCTGCATTTCGCATGGCGCTCGCCCCCAAAATGATCGCCCTGAGCTTCCGAACTGTAGCCAATGGCTGAGGTAGGGCCGGTGCCATGTTTCTTTGGCAAGCTTCGATGTCGTAATCCTGCTTCAATCGTTCATGTTGCGGATCGCAGATCAGGCACCATCTACCACAGCACGATTTTTAAGCAACCGGCGCCCGGTCTGGATCCATGACGGGCGCGTGAGTTCTGGCACTGGCCTCCGCGCTCAGGCGATTTTGGGCAGCAAGGGCAGCAGCCTGCATGCCGAGGCCTGTTCTTGGGGCATGCAATGGCTTGTTCATTTAACAACTGGTGGGTGGACAGAATCCCGACATACATGACGCCGCCAAAGAATCTATCTCCCACTGAAATCCGTGCCTATGAGGAGTTCATGTTTGGCCTCAGATGGACAGGTTCCAACTTCGAAGCCTTGTTGTTCTTGGGCGTTTCCACCTAAAGTAGGGTTCTTTCGACACCGGGTCTGACAGCCCACAAGTGGCAAGTGACAATGTAGGGTATTCAGAGAAGTTGTGGCGACTCGACAAAACACAGCGGAAGGAAGAATTCAGTTTTTGTTTGTTGGCACGTGCTCATTTGCTTGCTCCTGTCAGCTATGATGGAGCACATGTGGCTTGGGCCTAAGCGAGAAAGGGGTTGTGGTTCTGAGAGGCTGGCAGATTGCAAGATATTATTGCCCTGAAACCCATAGTGCAAGGCTGCATCATTTGCATCATGCAGACAGCAACCTTTGCCACGTTTGCCTCAGCATGTCTACTTGGGGACGGCAGGAGGGGTGGTTCCTTTGCATCCACGCTTTGGGAAGCATGAATGCCCTTCAGCTTTGCATGTTGCTAAAGTTGTTTGCTATGCAGCTTTGCAGGTTACTCTTTTCGTACTTGGCTTTGCGCCCGCCTCTGCTGAACCCGCATAGCTTCCATCGCTGGCTAACGGAAGGCCCAGTGCAGCATTGCGCGTGGCAAATGGCCACAGGCCGCCAAACACCGTAGTTGTGGTATTCATCATCCTGACTTCTTGCAAGACCGGCCTCATGTAAGCTAGCGGGCCTAAATGTTGTTTTCCATGCTTGCTCAGTCAGCGTTCATTGGCGGATTCCATGCATGACAACAGCATCTCAGGAGTTAGCCGGGCCCCGAAATTTCGGAAAACAGTTGGCATCGGCTTGTCCCTTTTGGTCAACCCAAACGCTGAGGTTCCTTGGCCGGACATGGAGAGTTCAGCATAACTTGCCTTGCCAGGTGATGCTGGTGGCCCGATGTGCTCGAGAGGGAATCTCCACGGTCCACGCCTCGGAAGGATGGTTCGCTTGATCATCATGTGGGCGAGCCTGCCATGCGTCAAACTCATTTGTTGAACGCTGGATTAGCACCTGCAAAAGCCTTAAGCCCTTGCAGGGTCTGAAAGCACCCACAAATTTGCCCCCTTTTTGAGATCTCGGCAGAGAAACATATCTCAGCAGGCACCTGGCCCGCGAGCAATGTAACCGCGCAGGCAGCCATGAATCCAAGAAACGCTGTGGTTCATGCCCGTGATTCGATGCAACATGTGGCTATTAACTTGGAAAGGGGCACCCTCGGAAATGGTTGGCGGATGAAACACCGCGTGCACATGATGTCCAGCAAGGGTCAGGGGACCCAAAACAGATGTTCGTAAACGGGTTCCAGCTTGCAGGAAAGGACAATAGTAATGTGGGTAGCATGCTAGACCCCATTTGTTCGACCTCATCTAGGGTCACCCAATGAGTCGAGTGTCTCGAACCAAAGATCACACGTGACCCGGACTTGAGTTCCTCAGGAGGGCGCTTGGCTCTACTGCCTGCAGCCGCCCTGCCACACCCTGAGCTGTCTGGAGAAGGGCGAGTTTCTAGCGCAAGCATGAGTTCGGTTTTCTCAATCAATCTCTGCGTGGTTGCTTTAGTTTGGGTGCAATCACTGCTATTCCAGTCTTTGAGCTGCTCGCACCTCAAAGTTAGACTTTGCGAGCTCTTGGGAGGATAGTTTGTTGATTGAAATCGCTTGGCGAGTTTGACCCGTGGCATCCGCATTCTACAATGACACTTTCTCGACCCTTGCGGATGTGCAGAACCATCGAACATTGGATTGACCACGTATACTGTAGAGAGCAAAGATCAACATGCTGGATAGCTACAACATCCTCGTTGAAAGTTACTGTGTCATCATTGCCCGTCGTACAAGCTCGCTGCAGGTAGTATCAGCCAAGGCCTTCGCTCAAAAATTATTTGGCATTTGTTAGGAACTTGTTGGCAGGTGCTGTTGTTAGATGTCGTCTTGTTGATTTGTTGCACGTGCAGCCTGCAGCACTTGACATTTATTAGAGCAATTGTTTAAAGGGAACACGACAGCCTCGGCTAGAAGAAGATGTTTCAACCGTGTGGGGCGCTCTGAAGGCTGGAACTGCATCAAAACCCTTCTGATGGCTGGTGTGGCGCGGATCGTTTTCCAGGACGCACGGGTTGGAACTACACTCTTGGAGTAACAGGGCTCATTGGATTAACCAGTACCCTCAAATCACTGGCACCTGACAGGGGGTCCCTTGAGCTTCCCAGTACCCTTGCAGAAATACCTTCTGGGAGAAAAGGGAAAGCTTTTGTACTGATCAGGTGATGCTGGCCCAGAATGAGCGGAGACTAGGATCCGGGATTGTGCATCAGGAGCACTTGCTCAGCACGGAATGTGTTGCATTTGATGAACAAGAGTACGGAGAGAACTTCAAAGCTGTGAAAGATGAGTCTCGCACGAACATTGCATGCTGATATGTAGTTAGCTTGTTGGACGGGCTTGCAATTTTCCCGACAAGACTAGAGACTAGCTGATCTGAAGACTCAGGAAGGGACATTACAGTAAATCATTCTGTCCGGCCCTAAGCAAATAATGTTCGGGTGTGACTGCTGCATGCACCTGCATGTTTGGGTTGGATCTATGCCCACTCATACTGTGTAGGAGGTGGCGCTGGTTGAAGGGATTTTGGGCGCACGTGGGTTCAACACGGTTTTGACGTTGTCTTTCCAATTCTCAGAACTTCAGGATTTATTTGAGCCAGGTGACTCTTGTTCAGCCCAACTGTGCCGCTTCAACGGCAGAACCTGCAAGAGCAGTGTTTGGCAGTTTTACCAACATTGAATTCAATCCAACGCAGATGATTGCCAGAAACACCATTGATTCATTCCAAGCCCAATTTGGCAAATTTGGGACTCTTTTGGTTGCCGTACAGCAGTGGCGACCCAGTCTTGTTTCAGGTCTACGTCCATGATTCGGGTATATACCACATTCTCCAGCAGGTGTTTGCTCACGTCACATTCATGTTTTGTGAGGAGTCCGATGAGCAGAGCGTCTTTCAGCGCCAGCGCGAGGCAGTTGGGATGCCTCGCGAGTCTTGCCCGTGTTGGTCGTTTTCAGCTTGGATAGTCCACGGGGAGGAACGACCTGACTAGTCGACGTGTTTTCTCTGCGCCTGCTCAAGTCATATTGTTCAGGTGTTCCTTAGTCGGTTGGTGTGGATTGGTGGGAACTGGGGATTTGAACACCTGGTTCTTGTAGATGGTAAATGGGAAACCCCTCCTAAACAGCCAAACCACGAATCCAAACCACCAGCTAAATAAAAGCTGAATTATGGCTTGTTTCACCAGGGCTCAGGTATGCCTGCATAATCCTTGTGAGAGTTCCGCCACAGTGATAGATAGGAGCGAAGGCCGTAAGTTATTGCTCTTCTAGAAGCAGCCGCCATTTGTTTGCAACATGGCCCTTCCACGCAGCCGTCAGAACACTTAGCATAGCTTACAGCCACTTGGAATATCCTGGCAGATTTGCCGGACAGCTCGGCCACAATCCGAATCGTTCTTTCTCTCGACGCTGTTACAACTTGGCAAGAACCATGAATCAACTCACGCAATGTGCTGTTCAGCCCATCTCTGGGTGGAACCATAGTTCATGGTGGCATCAGAGGACTATGCGGGGTTATCTTTTCTTGAGGGTACCGTTTTGGGGTGTGTTTCTCATTCAACCAAAAGGAATCCCCACATTGTTTGGTGGTTCCGACTCCTAGTTTAAGACACATGCGGTCACTTGTTTCAAGCTGGCCACGTAACAGGTGGCTCTTGCGACTGGCGCGGAGTGGCGGTATTTGCGGCCGAGCCGAAGGCGACAGGGCTACTTGAAGGCCTGGCTCACTTGGCCCTTTGTCGGATCGCGCCACTTGAGCGAGTCTCCTTTTTTTGTAAAGGGGGGACTAATTTTATTGTTGGTTTTTTAATTTGTCCTTCTTTCTTTTTTTAGAAACAATAAGGGGGGAGCCAAAGGAAGCCAGAGCCATTTCTTTGGGGGTTACATCCGAAAAAAAAAAAAAGAGAGACGCCCTGACAAACGGCATCGCATCCGAAAGGAAACGAAAGGCACCGGAGCAAATGCCCGTCATTTTCCGGGTAGCCCGTTGGGCGCATCCCGGCTCCAGCCGAGTCTCGAGAGATGTTTGAGGCTGGTGATCTTTTCTCGCATGGCAAGAGAGTGAAACGAGGTGACTGAAGAATAAGAAGGCAAGGCTAAGTTACGTGTATGGATTTGTTTTTCTCAGGGTTTCCTTTTTGTGGTGGCTTAGAGGGAAACCGGAAGGAACAACCAATCATTGGGGTCCCCGAAAAAAAAGAAAGACACACCAACAAAGGCAATATTCCCTTTCTCACATGCGCACTTACTGCAGCGATCTAAGATGGACAAACACCCACAAATCATTGCTTCATGTACAGTGGCCATCCAGGACGCAGGCACCACACGCTACATCCTGGCATAAGGCTTAAACGTTGAGTATGTGAAATGGGCTCTCAGAGTCGTGCTTGGGCTTGGGCTTGGGCTTGCGCACTTCTTACTGGCACTAACTGATTTTGTCATAGTCGTAGAGTCGTAGAGACTGTCCCGGCAGGCATTCAATCCTTTATTGCGGTGTTTGTCAGAGCGTGCTGGCGTTTTTCATGGGTTTGGATGCGACATCAGGATCACTCGAGCGCTGCAAAAGAGTCTACTGTACATCAAATGGCCAAGCATGATGGCTAAAAGTTGCCCGCCTGTTTGAGTCAGCGACACGTTGCCATCAGCAGGCCTTTCAGACGATGTGGGCCCAGAAGCACCTCCCTCGCCTGGGTCTCGGTGGTTTGCCAGCCGTTTGGGTAGGAATAGCCAAAAGCACCTGTTTAATCTCCATTTGAAAAGGACACGTGGTTTATTTTTTCAAATCTAATATGAATCCCCACCATTTGCATGAGGTTGCAGGTTTTAACATTTTGTCCCCTTGCCAGACTGGGGCAGTCGACTGGTGGCATTGACCCACGGCCTGTTGACATGGACCCGCATGCAGCAGGAAACAGCGAGGGGCCTTGGTGCAAGGGAACCTGTTTGCGGCATGGATCAACCCCCGTCTTTCGCTGGTATTTGTCATGGCACGTGATGTCTCCAGCAACGGCAAGACGGGCAAGCCGTCATTTCACAGAAGCAAGGTGACATTGGGAAGCACCAATGGCAGGTGCAGCCAAGCAATGGCAAACAGCCAGGGATGCAAGTTTGTTCAGATGATGGTGCATCTTCCACTGATCGAATCCATGGCCTGCGCTAAGGCCTCCGAGCCGAGTGAGGGCCAAAAAGACTGCGTCTGCGCTGGTGTGCGCAGCTGGGAATTGAGGGGGCCACCGTGGAAGGGAAGCCGTCCAGGCAGCCCAGGCACTTCACACGCCAAAGTGTTGCTTTTCATGCTGAACAAGTTTTGATAAGTTGCCCACCGCACGGGAATCCCACTGATCTTGTCATGCGGATAAATAACGGCCAAAAGGCCCTTGGGGACATTGAGCATGCTGGGACTGAGGAAAGTTCTAGTTCCACAAAAAGATAAGACTAGGCAAAATAGGGCCGTCTATTTGATCATTTGATGTCACTTGTAGCTCAAGCTCATTCCATTCCACTGCGGGGGATGGTGAACTCAGATGGAAGCAATCTGCTGACCTTACATACTCTTACGTTCCTGTTGGCAGAAGCGCATCCAGCAGATGTGTATTATTCAAACGTCAGAGGCTGGATTTGATGGCTTCAAGTGCAATTCAATGCTTTGTTTGCAGTTCCACCTCGGCCACAGAAAGAAAACGGAAAACCTGACCCATGCTTGACTAAGAACATGGCCATACGTTCCAGCCGGATTTCTTAAAAATCGGTCATGGTTGTGCAGGGCTTTGACTCAGCCCTGCTGCTGCTGCAGTACAGCCCCCCGAAGTCGAGATCGTTCGCACGCAGGGCGACGTGCCAAAAGCACCGCCTGCTGGGGGCTCAGGTGAGAGCATTCTGGCGAGCTGAGGCAACTTGCATACTGCAGAAAACGGGTATGGTCAGAAGTAGCCCACCAGGGACCGCGGATTTCAGTCCTTGGTTCCACTACCTGGGCAAACCATTTCATGTACCTGTTTTTGACCCACACCATTGAGCTGAAGCAACGTGGGTGGCAGCTTCAAACAGCCCAGCTTGGGGCTGTTGGCCGCGGGCGAAGTTTTTGCGCAGCCGAATTGGCTCGGCTCAGGTGCACGTTTGGCTGAGTGGCTTTCTTGTCCATGAAAGTAGTTGATCCGGCGAACCGATTGCAGTGCATCCCAACAGGCATTTGACAGGCCACTTGGTAGGGCATTGAAATTCAATTTATGGCTGAACAGAGGCAAGCGCACTGCAGGTCAGAGAAAACATGACGGCGTTCTCAAAGAAAGATGAGGAGCTTGTAAAGTCAATGCCCGACACGAACTTGCAACTAGCTCGTCGCAATTCGAACGAGTTCATTAAAGCTTCTTGCAGGATAGAACCTCCAATGCGCTGCCAGAATCTTCATATCAACTGGATACATTTGATACGCGCATGTGCGAAACCATTTATCATTTATCTATTGATCTGCAAGCCATGTGGGACATTCGCGTTGCATGTGATTGTATGGTACGCGGTGAGATGGTTGGGTATCTTAAGCACATCTCCTGACAGCAGCACCTGGCCTCAAACCATTTTGGTCGTCGGGTTCGAAGCGCCAGTCTCGGGCTGAGGTGCTTCGGAGCTACCCCGCCCCCAAGGCGTTGCCGCCGGCCGCGCGGCCGGTGGCATCTTGGAAGCACTGGTTTCCCTCCCACCATGGAGCCTGACGTTCGGGACCCGGTCCCTTAAAAGCAAACACAAAAGGAAAGCATCATTTTAGGGGTCCAAAGCCATCTATTTTGAAACATATCATGGCAACAGTATGGCAACTGTCAAAACGATGTCAATTTCGCTCGAGAACACATGACACATGTCGTACACAACGCTGCGAGGCGCAGTGGCGAGCACATCTGTAAAGAGTGGGTCTTGATTTCCAGGAATTGTATGATCGCATTTGCCACCTGTCCAGGATTTTCTGGGAGCGATTTGTTGAGGGAGGGTCAAAAAGTCTATTAGGTGCCCGCCGAGCTCAAGCCGGCGCAGGCCCTGGAAGTGCTTCAGGGAGAGCTTTTGTCAGATATGTGCTTTGCATAAGGGGTCCCGGGGTGCTGAACATAGGAATCGGTCCCCTAAAATGGCAATGTTGGCTACCCTTTGACCGCCAACCGAAAGGTCCACCATTTTGAGAAACACCCAGATCCTTTCCACTTCCGAAGAACATGTTTGGGTACGGAGCTCTTTGGGATCCTTCGGGCGTTTTCGACCCGAGATTCTGAGGCAGAGCTGGCCACAGCCCCAGAATCGGCCGGCCCGAAACCAACGCCAAGTTCCCATGTTTTGCTGACACTAGAGGTGCTTGAACCCTGAAGCTTTTTTTCCACAGGCATGGTGTGGCACGGAAACTGTGTGCAGCCGCTGCCCGGATAGGCAAGAGGCTCAAAAAGCGACTCCCACGCCTCGCTTTAGCGCTTCTGTGATCATAGCTTAGGCACTATGTCGCTTGCCCGGGCAATGTTCGGTATGGTTGCTGCGAGGAGAGCAGCCCAATTCCAAAAGAGCAACCCCTCTTTGAACGGAGCCGTGCCGCTGTCGAGCAACGGCTCATAGCACTTGGGGATGGCACCTGACGGGGAGAGTGTGGGCCGGCTGTTGGTCACTTCAGACTGGCAGGGGCAGACGCCACTCAGTGACAACGGCCCTGTATACCTTGCAGGCTTCGACGGGCGAGCAGATCGCTGAGGGGTGGCATCAGAGGCGTGGGACAGCAGCACACGCGCAGAGAAGATAGCCAAGGCGAACTCCGTGTCCCGTTTGGACAACAAGGGCAACAAACACTCCTTCTTTGTCGACATGTTTCAGGTGCATGACATCAGGGACTGGCACTTTGCTGTGTTGGCCTGTGGCAACGCAGAATCTGCAGCGCTGAACGTGCAGGTGGAGGCAGCAGTGGGAGCACTTTCCGTGTTCGAGGCTGGCACGTTCTTTGACACCAGCAGCTGTCCCGTGGAGAACAGCGACTGGTTGCAGCGGGCCGGCAGCGAGTGCCCTTCTGGGTGCTTCTGCTTGTGGCTGCCGCAGGCGGCTCTTGCTGCACGCTTGGTGCTATGTTGACCTGCCTGCGGTCCAAACGGCAGGACAAGGCCCTCAAGAGCAACAACCTAGAAGTGGTGATGGGCAAGTCGCACACTGCGGATGATTTTGTGAATGTGCAAGCTGACCAGTTTGCGCAGGCAGCAGCCAAGGTCCCGGATGAGACGATGCTGGTTTGAGACGGCCGCAGGAAAACATCAGGATTTCCAGCGCAAGACAGCCTCTAAACTTGATCAATTCGTTGGGTTGCCGACCCCAGCAATTAGCTGTAGTACTGTTACCCCGCACAACATATTGTGTGGGAACTTTAGAGAGGCATGGCCTTCAAAACCTGCTTTTCTCATGTTTTTGGGCAGCGACCAGCTACCCTTTTGTCCCCAAACGGGGTGTCCTTGTCAATGTGTAGACCCGATTGACTCTTGCGGGAATTATTTCGCGTCACGCCTACATACCCTTTTCGGATTGGGGTGTGCAATAGGCTCAAGAGGTGAGCACCTCAGACTCTCCCTGATACCATTTGTCCGCCGATCCTTGGAGAAAGACACAACATGGCTGTGCAAACAGCAAAGGGACATGGCTTGCATGTGCAGGCTCGACCTGTTAGTGTAATCCTGCGACTCAGCTTCATCTAATCTGCCAAGGTGCGAATTGACGCGCCCCAAGGCGTGACAGACAGACTTGACGGGAATTTCCGTGGACGGGCCTACACAGTTTTTGTCGACGCATGTTTGTCCTCACTGGAGTGGCGCTTGCTCGCGAGGTTGAGCCACAGCGATTTGTCAAGCGAGTGCTTCACTTGAATCACCGTCAGGTTTGCCCACTCCTGATGCATCCCCGCGAGGCCAGAAGCTAGAGGGTCGCTGCTTTCCGACACATCAATGAGCTATTGGAAAGGTGTTGGTTATCTTTGGAAGAGTTGACGAAGAAGGGCGCACCGCGACCGTTCTTGCTGGGTGTTGATCCTGTTAAGCGAGTTTTCTTCCTACCAGCTTTCACCTTGAACTCAGAAACATTTGCTGATGGTCGCAGACATGCTTGTGTGTCCAGCCTACAGTGGGTTCAACTCTATTTGGTGTGGTTGGTTGTCTAACAGAGGGCTTTTGAGCTTGTGACAGACGGCCATGAGCATGTGCAGCGCCGCGCCTGCACAGAAATCAAGCTCTCCAGAACAGTCTCCAGCGTATTCACACTATTCTTTGCCTGCCTTCGTACATCTGTTGCCCGTTTTGAGAGTGACAGCCAATGTGCGAGCTTTTGTGGCATTGTCCTATTGAGTTGAGATGGTTGCACTGTCGGCCAGCAGGATTCCTTGCAGGACAAGAGCTGCATGCTTGGTTTGAAGCACGTCGCGCCGGCGACTGCATGCGTAGCTATAGTGCCACTTTTTGCTGTACTTGCTGAGCGACTGGCCTGTTGTTCTGTTTGTCATCTGAATTCCTTGCATGTGCTTGTTAACTCAGTTTGCTTTGATGGCAAGCTGCCGTCAGGTGCTTTTCCACCAAAGACAGTCACAACCGCCCTCAGCCTGGTTGGATTCCGGGTCTCGGATGTCCTGCGGCTAGGTGCCGAGAAGTCGAAAATCGAGCCGCGGCCTTGACTCCGCATGGACTATCTGGCTCGCACAGAATCCTTGGGAATTCGCGGACAAGCCGCGGGAGTTCCATTCTGACAACAAGAAGCCAGCCATTCAAGATATGCTGAGCTGATACATAGGTGTGCAGCTTTCCTTGCACATGTGACCCCTTCTGTATAGAACTGGCATTGAGGGTGCGATCACAGACAGCTTTGTGACTGGGCAAGCTCAGGTACGTCTTGAGCAGGCCCATTGTGTTGAGAATAGCTGAATAACTTCTGTCAACAGACACTACACGATGTGGCATTTCGACATATTTAAGGGCAATTCGTCACATTCTCCCGTGAGGGACTCGTAATTGGCGGAGTGTGGGTTGTGGGGGCACAATTGTTGGTCGGAAGGGAATATCAACTGACACAAGGAATACTCACGGGTTTCGCCCCCCATCCCCACCAGCCGCGCTGGCAAGATAGGCAAAGAGAGGGAGACAAAGAGCAACAGCATGTCGCTAAACACCAAGCAGCCACGAATGCGCCCCACAAAGAGGCAACACGTGCACGTGACTTGACAAGAACCGAAAAGCTGACAAGGCAAGCACGCGCGTGTTTAGATGCTGCACGCCCCACCGTCTCAGACGCATTGCCCCGGAAACAGATGGGCACAAACAAGCCGAACAAAAGCAAGCAACAGCAGTAGAGTGCGCCTCAAGGAGGCGCTCAAAATTCTTTTTGCGCCATCCGCCTTTCCAGCGGACGCAGAAGTCTTGCTGACTTGCCGGCCATTTGCTGCATGTGTGGCCCAATGCATCATCGATATCCCAACTTTGTGAATCCTGGGATTTTTCATTTGACCCATAAGCCACCATGGGACCACAGGTTTAATCCATGTTTCCATCTACCAGGGTTCATATTTGGGAATATATTTTTGACCCACTGCCATTTGGACAGGTCCATCAGATCACAGGCCGGTTCCACCCTAGTGGGCTAGGTACCGGCGGAAGTGGAACCCTCGCCTCGCTGCGCAGCAGCGCAAGGAACGGGAGGCCGGTTTTTTTGTGTTTCTACCCTAGCGAGCGCTCTCGTTGGTCAAAGTGGCACCCAAGTCACGGTGGCATGACTTCCCGGCATCATGCCGCGCGCCAGCTGTCGCCGCAAGAATCTTTTTGAGATGGCAGTGAAGGATTTTGGGCTGGCATTTGCACCCCTGCGAACATAAGGTGTGGGAGCATGATGTCAGGATGCCTTGGTGAGTTGCCTTGTTTGAATTGGAGTTTGGGTTGTCGCCGGCCAGAAGCTTCACCCCAGCATCAGCAGGCAGGGTTGGACCCCGCATCGGGCTTGCAGGGCCTCCGTATGACTTGATTTTCGCTTCAAGATCAACAGGAACGAAGAGCAGCGACAGTGCAATGCAGTATATCTACAGAGGTGCATTTTGCTTGGATGTTAGGACTTTCACTTTTTGCCAACTAATGGGTTTTCCATTAAACCACTAAAAGTTAATGTTTTAGCAGGGGAGCAGAAAGCAACCGAGTCTAACTAGCTGTGCAGCTTGAGTCTGGGGTGCGACAATTTAGAATATTGCCCAGGTGACATGCAAGGTCTAGATTTGATCACTGCCTCGATGGCCAGCGAGCTGTGCACGTAGAAGCAGGACCAGTACATCATATACCTTGCGCTCTGATTCAGATGTCCGCTGGGAAGGGTGTGACATGCACCCCCGGCTGAAGGAATTACGGACTCCTTTGTATGTTAGTTGAGTATTGGGCGGATCCCTTTTGTCCAAAGCTTTTACCATTGCTGTCAACGGCAAAGCGTTGAAACAAGCACTTTAGTTGCGAGGCAATTGAAGCGATATGACTGTCACGTTGGATTCAAAGTCAGGTGCCAAAGGCTTGAAGTGCAGAACTGTTCCGGAGCTACGAGAACATTCCTTTCAAACGCTCCCCAATAGGACTTAGATAGGAGAAAGAAACATTCGAGAATGGCAAAGCAGGCTGGACAGTGAGGGCAATGAGTCAGAGCAGCTAATTATCCAGCCCGTTCATGCCCGTCCTCACATCTCAAAGGTGAGAGCTTTGTTCCTTGCGTGCGTATTGACCCTGGCCCATGCTTGACGTGCCAGGCCGGCGGTGCTGGAGGCACGCTCCAAGTGTAGAAATCAAGTGGGTCGACAGGAATGGCCCAGAGACATTGCCAGGTTTGCCGCCGTAGCGTTGCTTTGGAGACATTGATCATGGACCGGGATGTAGTGATCCCTCGTGCTCCACTAACTCTCCCTCACTGAACACAGAAAACATTGCGCTGGAACTGAAGCCTTCGTGTTTGCAACGTGAGGCTCTACCCAAGGATGCGAAGGAGCGGCAAATCTCAGAGGCATACCGATTGCAGGTAGAGGGCGTCCCGAATACCCTCCCCCAGGCGAAGCTCCAAAGGGACCCCGAAATGGAAGACTTGGTGACCCATTTACAGGGGCAAATGGGGGGAGCTTCCGGCTGTTCGTCTGAGGGAGTGTGCTCCTTAGGATTATTCATGAACAGACATCAGTTGTATCACGAGTTGTTGCAAAAGCTACCAAGTACCTTATTGACTTGGATGGTGAGGTTGGGCTTTTGAGGCAGCCCCCTAGGGGAAGCATCTCCGCAACCGAGTTGCCCACGCGTGCGGTTCCCTTGAATGGCCCCGCATTGACATCTGCAGGTGAAGCATTGCAGCCACGACGATCCCATGGCCGCAGAGTGCCGGCCTTTTTTTGGATAAGCTGGTCGCACAAGAAATATACTCGCATATTTTGCGAGTGAGCAAACACTTTGCGCAACTACGAACTGCGGCGAGTTTGCCGAGCAAAGGGCGCATGTCAGGGCAGTTGCTTGCTAGTTGGTATGTTGGTTGGTTGTTTAGCTGGCTAGTCCAGAACCGGCTGTTTGATTGGCAACTATGGGAAACCCGGACCACTTCCATTGGATGGTGCGGTTCATGGCAGTCCGCACATCTAGCTGGGCTTCGCCTTGCAGCACGGGAACCTGCTGCTTGCTGATGCCATGCGTTGGACCATTTCCAATCGGATCAAGCTTTTTTGTCAGACATCAAAGTGGAACCTGCAGGATTCATGAGCTGTGCGAGCTCATTTGGTGTCTTCAAATTGTTTGTTCACAGACGTGCCAGCCCCAACCAGCCATGTTCAGAGAGGCATTTTCGTGGGCGATTCAGGTGCGGCTCTTCGGGTGCTGCGGGCTTCTCCTTGTCCACCCCCACGGACCGGCTCGCCGCCCGCTCGATCGCAAGCTGAGCGGGGATGCTCTTGCCATGTTCTATTTGTAGATCTCGGGAACGGCGCAGGCATCAATGGGCTTCGTTTGACGCCCTTGCCGGTGAATCTGCAGGCTAGGGCTCACAGCCAGAGGTTCCATCCAGCCGACCTTGAAGCCGACCCTGAGGGTAGACGTTTGTGACAACCGTGACGACCGCGTCCGTTTTTTCTTGGTCTTCCAGCCATGGGCAGCCGGAGGAGGAGTGTCGGTTTCGACTCGCCGAATTGAAAGGGAAGGATCTTGAAAATCTGATTCTCCAACTTCGCAGGATCGGACTTAGATTGTGGCATGCATTCTTGCTACAGCATTTGCCCGCTTCAAAGGGAATGTGTTTGCAAACAGGTGGATTCACAATCTTGACCGGAGCAGCAAAACATGTCTTGTTATGATGTCCTGTTAGCCAGATGAACCGTGGCTGCTTTCGAGTGGTTAAGTCAACAAAAGCAATCGGCAATATGGACTACTCTTTTGGCCAAATCTGAGACCCCTTTGTGGTTGGCAAGCATTGCTGGCCATCGCACCTAGCGTTTCGATGATCCTGGCAATTCTCAATTGGGATGTGAGAACCCCAAATTGGGAGGGTCTTTTTTAGAGAGCCCCCCCCAAACCAAACATGTGGATGTCGCTTTCACTGTTGTTTAAATGGGGTCCCCCTTGGTTTCTGGTTCCGAAGGTCATTTTTGGTGACCCAAAGGTCACTGAGCGAGCGCAAAAAAAAATGTCGGAAGGTCCCGTACCCCGCCTGGACAAAGTCTCCAAGAGACCAAGCAAAGCTTGTACATCTCCAAGCAGCTGGTGAGCTGGCTGGCCCAGATATCGGAGCTGCCAGCCCATGTTTTGCGATCTTTGGGCGACAGACAGTATCCAGGTCACCTTGATTGGGGGATTCCGAGGAGAAGTAGGCATCAATCCCGAATTCATTAGGACCATTAGGATGTTACAGGAGCCAACTGATTTCATGGCGAGTCAACGTGTTGAGTTTGTTTGGATCGGGTTGCTGATTTGTTCAGAGGCTTCATGGACCAGCACGAATGCCACATCCACACGTGGGATTTTCACCCCTTGCGGGCTCATGGTTAGCACGCTCCGGGTGTTTGGTTTCTCTGAGGCTTCGGCCGATACCCCACGCACCGGCCGAAGGGCCTCCGTGTTTGCGAGGGCAGTTTGACGCCCCTTGGCAGGGCAGCGATTGCGCGACGGGGAAACGGGAAGATCAGGAAAAGACAGTCATTGCAAGCTGAAAGGGCAAACTTGCTTGTTTGCCGCCCCTAGATAGGCATTCCGATTTTTCAGTCTAATGAAGCGCTGCTTTTTTCATCTTTCGGATCCGATGCTGATGACGCGTAGATGGAGCCTTCCCATTCCGGAGGTGGGGGGGTCTGGTAGGCTTCGGGGGCTGAAGCAAGGCTCAACAACCTGATGGAGTGCTGGGCGCAACCTGAAGGACCCGTGACAGCAGATCTCAAGGCAAACGAAGGGGTTGATTGTTGAAAGCGGCGAGCGTGAAGCTCAGGCACATGCTTGTAGGTTCGGCGATCGGGTTTCGGTCTCAGGACCCATTGCAGGGTGCCAGGTGTGGCATCCTGCGTTCAGGACACTTCAGCAAAACTGTCAACAACTTGACCGGTTTTTGGGCCACCTTTGTTCCCAGGGTGTTTGCTTGTCTTTCTTGAGCATGTTCATGGTTTGCAGGTCCACTAAGCAGCAAGGTGCAGTTGCTTCATTCGATGATCTGAGTCTCAAGAGGCAGAGAACTCAGAGAACAAGACATCACCCTGCTCAAACGAGTGGTTGGACGCAGGATTCTCGCGGCTGGACGTCCTGAATGCTGTGCCAGCCTCGTGGTCATTGCATTGCGTCTTCGCCGGTTTCCGTGTTTGGCGGGTTTCTCCATTTGAGCCGCAGAGCGGCTGGTTGGAAATGGAAGGGAAACAGCGGCAGCGAGTGCTGTGCCTGGCTCCCTGCTCCGGCTGCGCATCGATTCTCAGGTGCGAAAGCACATGTTTCATGAGGCAGGGTCGGTCAGAAGTAATGAGCCTCACGTTGCCAACATTCTCGACCGAACGTGTGAGCCTTGCCAGCAACGCTACTGATCTCTGAAGCCCCCCACCGTCACCTCGCTGAGTTGCTGCTGAACAAACTAGATGGTGTCAAAGAAACCTGACAAAGGCCGATGACCTTTTTCCGTCTTGTGACTTTGGGGTATTTGGACCAGGCCCATGGACTTGGCCCGTAGGATATTTACGGGGCATCGCTAACCGACGGAAATGATTTGCCGGGCCAACCTCGAACTTCGACGCTCCCACCAGGCAGCTTTTGATGGAGTCCCGGTTTTTGGGTTCAAGGAACAATGCAGTGCCTGCGGGTGTGTCTTTTTGAGGGAATACCTTTTTTTGGTTTTTCAAAGGGAACCCAAAGGAAACCCACAATTTAGCTTCACCTAGAAAATGACACCCATGGTTTCAACGTAGGTAGTTGCATGCACTGATCCTGGAAATATTCGACAGTCCGCGAGGTGTCGGGAAAACGAGTGTCCCCTGGAATGATCATCTGGACCCAACTTTATGAGGCACGCCACATCCTACTGTGGATGGACGAAATCCTGCACCACTTTGAGACCATGGGCAGCCATTGTTCGTTGGTATTTACATTGGGGAATCGAATCATTCCAGGGTTTCTGTGGTGCGAAATGGGTTTCGTCCATCCACAGTATGGACCAAACCGATTTGCTTTCAGCAGCGCTTTCTGCCTGAGCTCCAGACTCTTGGCCCCGTGAACCGACAGGGTGGCCAGGAGCTACGCTTTGAGCTCACCCAGGAGGGGCAAGGCCTGGGAGAGCTGCGACTGCTGCCTCTGCTAGTTTGGCAACCAATGACATGTTCTTTGTGGGGATGAGAACAGCAAGACGCAGCAAGACGTTAACCTGCGAATCAGAGGTTTGGCTTTGCAGTGGCAGTCTTCATAGTCATATACGTTTCTTTGTTGACTTCACGACTCATGCCCGTTCAAGCCCTACAAGGCCAATATACGAGCATCGGACACTATGACTTACCAAGCCTTTGTAAGACGAAACATAATGTTGACCCGGGATTAACAAGGAAATGTGTGGCGGGGGGGACCCATATTCAAAAACATAAGCCGGGGTTCCCCTTGCGTAAATTTGGCGAGGACATGGTGGGCCAATCCAAATTTCTCAAACGCCTGGGCCACCCAATACGGAGCAACGGGGCTTGCCCGCACATCCTTTGCATTTGGCCTCATGTCAAGAGAAGCCTAAAGGAATCAGTTAAGCTTTCAAATAATTGCGACTTTGAACATATGGTGCTTCTCGAAATTGGAGACTCCTCCAGCTGGTGTCCTTTTGATTTCCCTTCAACACTCATACAAAAAGGATCCCCTTTGAGAATTTCCCCGTGTTCAATCCAACGGGCAGCATCCCTTGCCACGCGACCGTTGGGAAAACGAGAATGTTCCAACCCCGGAGACCAACATGGCAGTGGTGTTGGTTGGTAGGTGAATTCACCACCCATTGTAGAACCTATTTGTGTGGGGATTGGGATGTTCACTGAAAGTACGATTTGGCTTTTGACACTTGACCATGGCTACATCTTGTTCCAGAGCTGCCGCCCTGCCGCAGACAAAGTCATCAAAGTGAAGCCCCGGAGAGGCGCAGGCGGGCTGCGTGCGTGACTCAAGCGCCGCGTTTGGTTCTTTGTTGGTGATTGGCGCCTCGCTCTCTCTTAATCCACGGCACTTGTTTGGGCAGGTGGGCATGCCGTTTTGCGTAAAACCATTTTACTGGGATCGAATTGCTGCGAAATTGCAAAAATACATCTCCTTCGGGAGCAGAGAGACAGCTCAGTGGCATCATGATGCAGCATATTTACTCCCAGCGCTTAATTTGCACCTTGTTCCCTTTTTGGTTCCAAGAGCACCCCAAAAGAGTGCCTTGTCTCCACCGTGCTCACCGGGAAACTGAGCACTGGCCACTTTACAGCTCTGCGAAAGGATTCTTGGTGTCAGAAGCCGAAGGCTTGCTCAGCTCTCAAATCTACACCGAGTTCTTGACACAATCGGGGCCTTGTTTTTCAGCCATCTTGACCCTGGCAGGCAGGCCGTTGGATGAGGACCCGCGAATTTGTTTCCTCTTTTGAAATTGATTCTGGCGCAGTTGCAAAGAGACACGCTTTCCATGCCAGCAATCGACTTCATGGGTAAGCCAGATGAGCCACAATCACAGTCCGGATATTTCAAGGTTAGTAGAGGACGGTCCCAAGCAGAAATAGGTGCGGCCGCCCTTTAGATTGTCTTTGGGGAGACCATCGCAATACCATTTTTTCATTGTGACTCAGGTGGTATGGCATCACAGCCGTTTGACTTTGGTAAAAGTGATGCTCGAGTTGGCGCACTTCAATTCCTTTATGAAATTGCACGTTGTCTGCTGAGCATTATTGCTTTGCGTGGTTACTTATATGATTGTCATTGGCACATTCGCTCACTTGACCAACGTCTTCAACCTTTGCGTTCAACATTTGACCTATGTCTTCCACCTTTGACAAGCCTTTCTTCGCACCGTGACGACCCAGTCGTGTAAGCATCGCCGACTTCGCACACGCCTAGCGGCTTTGGGAACCAACGCCGGCCACAAAGAGCAAGCGCAGCGAAGTTTTCTGTTTCCACTGAATAGAACGCAACAATTGCTTGAGACATTGAGAAACCAAAAGTAAACGATGTCAATTCGTACCAGAGTTGCAAGCGGAGACACAGAGCGCTGTTCCAGGAGAGAGGCTCGGAGCGGCGTCAGCGGTCCAGAGGCACGAGGGCATCGTTTGGGAGTACTTGGCACGTGAGCAGCGCCGAAGTTTCACCCATTGGCCGAGGTGATCGCACTACCTGGCTGAATAGGGATCATAGTAAGGCCCATACGAACAGATAAAATTAGTTGCTGTGTTGGAAGCAGCAAATGCCAGTGGATTTTGACGCAGATGTTGAATTCAGTTCTTTGTGGAACCATGGGATGCATGTTCCACATGCATTGCTGTACTTGACCATTCAACAGCGGCTGGCATGTGCTTCTCTTTGTTGGTTGATGATATCTGCCAATGTTCGATGTCTGCCAATGCCTGCCATGAAGATGACGATGGGATTGGCTTGGTCGACAAAGAGCTCTTGGCCGAGAAGCTACGGCATGAATTCGTAGACCGAAGCCCCCATCTGCTGAGAACGGCCAACGTTTGCCACAATCGGAGGATGTTGAAGCCCTTCATGGTCTCTCCTTGTGGCAAAACCTTGACTTGGGCTTGGCAGGCAAGGATGGTTGATGGGCGGCTTATGGGGAAAACAACAAAACACAGAACATGTTTTATTTTCTTCATGCTGAGATATTAATAGCCAGCCGGTGGGGTGTTTGAGTGGAATGAGGTCGAGGCGCCTAGGCCATGCTGGAGCCATGATGCCGAGATCGGATTTTCAAAAATGCTCATCCTTGGCCTATGCTGTGGGGTTGTGTTTTGCGAGACGGGGATGACCTCCTATCCATTTCGGAATCAGCCAGTATCGACTCCTTTGTCTACACCGTTGTCGACACCGCGTTCTACGCCGTTGTCGACGCCGCGTTCTACACGAGACAAGTTGAATGCGTTTCGATCTCAGCTGCATCTACTGCGAATGCAACACCTACAATGTTTGAGCGTTTTTCGAATCTCGCCTGCCTGTGCCTGGCTAGTGGTTTCAGTGCGCATTGAGCTCCTCCCCAGGCAACTGCCTTGGCAGTGCTCAACATTTGTGACTGCACCGTGGCCTGAGGTCACTGGATGATATCATCCACGAGGAGAACCGAGGCGCTGCTATTGCGAGCCAACATGTTACCGTGTGAGCCTGGTCATTCAGGCAGTCACAAGCAATCTGTGTTTCTTGGCATGATGGCTGAATGCTCTGCCAATGTTTGTTCTTCTTCTTCTTCTTCTTGTTCTTTCTTTTTTCGGTCATTTGAATAGCCACAAGCTCAAACCCATGCCGCAGGCGACCAAAGCGCACCTCCTGGTAGCTGGGCCCTCAGTCAGCGAATCCGAAGCGTTGGAGCCTTCACATCCAAATCTGCACTCAGCATTAGATAAACATATCCGTCATCAGAGGAGTTTCAGGAAATGCCACTGCGCTCCTGTCATGACTACTTTGCTGCTTGGGCGGTGGCCGACATCCGACATCCTGCCGTCCCCTACTGGGGTGCTCCGGTGCTCCCACTTGAGGCTCCCGAGAACCCTTCGCCACATTCTCGCGGCCGAGTGGAGGCCCTGGTGACGAGATTGGTGGTCAGAAAGTCAGAAAGCATCCTCTTGTTCCATGGAGGCCCTGTAGAGGTGTCCGTGAGTCTAAGGGGGAGCAACCACCAACACTTCTCGGCCCCTTGTTGACGCATCGCACAGCTCGACGTTCCACCGATCTTCCGTATAGCCTGGCTTTGAAGCTGAGATGACGAGGGGGTATTGCTGTTTGTCACCGAAGCCATGAAATGAGCAATTGCCAGAGGGGGCAACCTTCCCATGTTCTTTGCAAAAATAGGGCGCGTGGCCCGTGTTTTGGTTTGAACAGCCTGGATTCTTAGGCCTGCAGCGGAAGATGGATCAGATGGGCCTCACGCCGCAGACGAAACACCTCAGAAGGCAGGCAGTGGCCATTGATTTGGGGGTTGATCAATATTCTTGGCGTTCAAATGACCAAAGGGGGAGCTTTTCCCATTTAGGGAAATATCATATGTTTTAGTGGTTTGTCCCAATGGTCGTCCCATGGAAAGGACCTTTTCATCAGCCCCCATTTGTTGAGGCAGTTGCCATGCATTGCGCCGTACATGTGACTGCGAATCCAAATGAGCAATGTGTTACAAAGTTCTGCCAGTACAGGCATCCCAATCTTGCCCTTTTCGAGGCTTAGATCAGGTGCAATACATATTTACAAGCCAAAGGACATGGATTTTTGCTTTAATCATGTGCCTTGTGCAGCATGGCTGGAGTTGCTTGCCTGGTACCTTTTTTGACATAGCAACTCTTCCTTCGAGACATTCTTCCACGGCACCGTACTGTCTCACGTCATAGCTTCAGCCGCTCGAGGCCGCCAATGAGCGACCGAGGCGCGGTCTGACTCCGGGAAAGGGGTGCTTCATGCGCAGAGTGTCCCAACCAACCCACCACCCGACCCACCAACCAACCAATCGACCCACCAACCAAACACCAACACACCCACCCACCCACCCACCCACCCACCCACCCACCCACCCACCCACCCACCCACCCAGCAACCAACCAACCAACCAACCAACCAACCAACCAACCAACCAACCAACCAACCAACCAACCAACCAACCAACCAACCAACCAACCAACCAACCAACCAACCAACCAACCAACCAACCAACCAACCAACCAACCAACCAACCAACCAACCAACCAACCAACCAACCAACCAACCAACCAACCAACCGGCTTGACCAACAGACCTTCATCCTGTTTCGAGAAACAGCCCATGGCATCCATTTGCAGAGCTTTGTGTTGGACCCATCCATGCGCTTCAAAGCACAGATTTGCTTGATGCTGGTAAGGTGACCAGTGGTTCTACCGGGGGTTGAGTCCAGGCTTCATGCAGACATCATGACGTGAATATGTCGTGTCTGGCGATTCATGAGAACCAAAGCTGGAAAGTACTGGTGTTTTGAACTTTTATGTCCTTGCCATTGGCCCATGGAGCTGTTAAGTGCATTGATGCCCATGCATCCTCACCTGAAAGGAAGCAACCGGTCCAATTGCTCACCAACCCCTCCAGAATCCATATGGCCGTGATTTTTTGGAGGGGTCTGTAACAGAGCCGCGGCGGACATTCGTTACAGACCTCGTTACAGACCTCTGTAACAAGACACGCTCGCTCGTTACACACCCCTCATTACACACCCTAGTTACACACCTCAGATCAACTGGCTTGCGTTGAATAGCTGCAATCAATTGCTTTGCTTGCCTCGTGACAGACCTCGTTACACAGTCGTTACACACCTCGTTACAGACCCAACCCCAGCCCAGGCTAGTGACCCCCTTTTTGCCATGGCATGGCTTTGTGTCGGCAGTTTGGAGCTGCGGAGGCGTGCTTTGTGATGCGCTTGTGCTGAAGAGTTGCGACTTTCGAGCGGGAGCTGCTGCTCCTCGTTGGTCTGCGCTACGTTGTGCTACTGGGACTGATGCTTGTCAAGATTGTTTTCCCGTTACAGACCTGTGTAACAAGGGCCTCCGTTACAGACCTCCGTAACAAGATTCGGCGCGCGTCGCGCGTTACAGACCCTCAAAAAAATCATAGCCATATGGATCCGATCAGTCCTGACAGAACTTCAGCTAGTGCACGTTCCCACTTTTTGTGCACTGCTTTAGCCTTCCAACTGCCATAGGACATCATAGGACAATGCCTGCGGCGCACGTCTCCGATGGACATAATATGACATGGTGCTAGCAGGCAGCAGGCTCCTGCTGTCAAGATGTGCACAAGAGGCGCTTCTAAGCTTCTTTCGGCTTTCGAACATCCGTGGGCCTGACCGTGCAATCTCTGCTTGAAATATGTAACGGTTAATTTAAGCTTAGTAGTTGGACGTCACTTGTGTCCAACACTGCCACGTCTCACTGCCAAACGAAAGAGTGAAACAAAACGATAGCGATCGTGGGAAGTGGCCTAAGCGCAGCTTGTTGGGTAGCAAACAGGCCAGCCTTGGTATATAGCTGAAAACAACAATAGCAAAACATAACGATATGTACAGCAATTGCCTTTTCCTCACATCCACAAGTTTTCTGAGTGCAACGACTGAACAGTTGCGATATTCGAGCTGGAGCTGTCAAGGCGTACTTCGTGCACTACACTTGTACTAAACAGTTGGGATATTCACTTGAAGACTACAACTCTACTGAGAAGTTGCGATTTTCGAGCTAGAGCTTCCAAAGTGACTGCATGTACTACACGGGTGCTGGACAGTTGCTGTGTGCTACACTTGTACTAACAGGTCGGAATTCGCTGCAATTTGACAAGGCATTAAGGTTGTATGCAACCCCTAAGTGGCATGCTGCAAACTATTATTGAAAAACAGCAATGCACAGAAGTCTCAGTGGGGCCTGGCCTAAAGTTGCAGCAAGTCAAGACAGTTTGCCACCCCTTCGAGTCACTGTAGCTGTAGCTTGCAAATCATTGAAGCTTGCATAGCAACGAGTACCCTGACCTTCATTCAATGCAGAAATGCGATTGGACAATGGGCAAGCCATGAACGATTGCAGAAAGCGCCCATTATGTGTTCATGCTAGAGGCGGCCGACATAGAGGAGGGCGTGACGATGCGATGGACAGGGCACCCGAGCGTGTCTTGGCCAAGTATCCGAACGTTCATCGATCCCACAAGATGGATCAAGCGGATTCTATGTGGAACCTTCTCAGCTTGAGGTTGCAAAAACGTTGCGAGCCCTGGCTTATTTGTGGCACGCTTGCAGAATATGCAATGCTCACATCACACTCCACGTTCTACTGTCGGTCAATGGACAGGCAAAATGCACGTGTTTGCTGGCGCACTAGCGCAGGAGCGTTGGCAACACCTGAAATGCCAGCGCAGCTTTCTCAATCAGGAATCCAAGCTCAAGGCAATTCAGAGTTGAAAGAGCAAAACAGTCTTACTTTGCTTGTTCTTACCTCACTGCCAGGCCAAGCTGGCAGAAACGCTTGAGTGAGCTGGTCGTCAGTTGTGATGACCCATAGCTTCATAGCGTTTGTCATGAGCAGCCTCCTTTTGATCAGGCATCCTATTTTACCAGGATGATGTATCTTTGTTGGCCGTTCGACCACACCCAAAGAAATCAGCAGACACGACAATCAGCAAGGAAACAAGAAGACATCAACACGAAAATGAAGGAACACTAGCTGCAGAGCAACCATGCCGAAAGCAAGAGCGTCAAACAGCAACTCGTGTAGCTACCCTGCATTTGCTGTGGGGAGGGGCAGACTTGAGGCGTGGTTCCCAAGAAGCCGCCCATCCCCACGCCCAGAGAGGTGGCCCAAAGCAAGGCCAGGGGTGGGAGGAAGCAGTTCGAAACAGTTGACTTGATACCAAACGCCAGCTGGTGTGTGTGTGTGTGTGTGTTTGTTTGCTTGCTTGCTTGCATGCTTGTTTAATTGTTTGCTTGTTGGTTTACTTGTTTGTGTGTTTCTTTGTTTCTGTGTTTGTGTGTTTGCTTTCTTGTTGGCTTGCTTGCATGCATGCTTGCTTGCTTGGCTGTTTGTTTGTTTATGTTGATTTGTTTCGTTGTGTTTGCTTCATTTGTTTGCTTGCCTGCTGGCTGGCTGGCTGGCTGGCTTGCTTGCTTGCTTGCTTGCGTGCTTGCGAACTTTGCAGTACCTATTATTTTGGCAATCGCGCACTCAGTAGACACTTTGTTCTGTTCCCTCAGCTGTTGGATCAGACGATGTATCGCTCTGCTCCACGCTCGTCGTTGTGTTCCACACTCATCGTTCTGTTCCACACTTATCGTTCTGCTCCGCACTCATCGTTCTGTTCCATAGAACCATTCTTTTCCGTTGCTCAAGTTCGGTGTCGTTGCAGGGGTCTTTTCTTTCCCGCTCCGTATGGGGGAAGAAATTAATTTTGGAACAGAATGGGGAAACAGGGCTCTACAGGCCAAACTCCCCATCCTGTTTGTGCTATCGTTCTGATTGCAAACATCGTTCTGCTTGGTTTGGACAGGGTTCAAATGTACGATTTGGGGCCTTTGTTTCCAGGGGAGGGTGGGATGTTGCTGGCGCTCTCCCAGTTTGGGGTCACAATACGGCTGTGAAAGCCTGTTGGGCCGCGTAGGCATGGGGTACGGGCTTGTTGGTGTAATTGTTGCAACAGCTAGTCGAAATGGTTCAGGGGACCTTATTTGTTATTTGTGTTTTTGTTTGTGTGTGTTGCTTTGCTTTGCTTTGCTTTGCTTTGCTTTGCTTTGCTTTGCTTTGCTTTGTTTGGTTGTGTTTCTTTGTTTGTTTGTGTGGCAATGATTTGATAAGGACACTATTCCATTCCTTTGTAGTTTCTTGGCGCACAACTGTCGGGTGGTTTGTGTCAGTCTCTTTGTCAGCCTTGTTGCTTGCTTTGCCCCGTTCAGCAAGGGTGGACTCCTTGGCATCAGAATGAGGTCTCAAGCGGCAACCAAGAGGATTTTTGCCTCACATCAAGTCACACATGGTGAGCCATTCCACTATTTTCGAGGTTTTGCCGAGGAATTTTGGCAAAGTTGGCCACTGACATGCATTGACCTGTCATTATTTTGCCTGCATCTGGTTGTCCAAGTCAGAAAATGTGTCCCTTGAACCCACCACTTGGGGGGTGAGGCCAGTTCACGGCGCATGTCACGTTGCTCCGGGTTCCGGTTCCAGGCAGCGCCGCCTCGGCCAGACACGGTGCAGGCCAGCTGAGATGGGGCGAAGTGCGCGGCGAGAAATCGGCACCTTTGAAAGAACTAGATGTAGGAAATTCGTCCGCCCAAAAGATATCAACAACCTAACCCTCAACCAGTGCTTGACCAGCCTAACTCGAGCAAATGGGCACTAAATCGACCTGAATCAAGCTGAACAGACATAGTGCTTGTTTGAGGCGCAAAGGGTCTTTTGTTCCAATGCGGGCCGTCCCACATCAACTTGGTCAAGCCGCATTGCGCTCTAGTGCTGCAGGTGCATTGAATGGTGGCTACCCAGTGGTTGGGACGCGGACTTGCTGTATCAACAATGTTTTTTTCATGGAGCGTCTATGTCAGCCATCGGGATGGTGCATGCCACGGCTACAAGTCAATTTGTTTGGGGCATGTCTGGATTGGATTGCTTTAGTTCATTCCTGTGGACCTGTGATGCTTAGACCGACAAATCAAGAGTGAGTAGCAGCGTGCAACTCAAATGTCAAGGATGCCTGATCAGCGGCGTTCTGTTTCTGACAGCAATTATTCAAGTATTATGACAGCCTCTATGTGCAGCACACGTGTTGCTTTTTTGTTGGTATGTTTTCCAGCACTAGTCACATAGCAGTGAAGGGTGCGGGAGGTGAGGGGTTTGTCAACGGATCATTAGAATACAAAAGATCCAAGAGCAACAAGATCCAGTTGAAATCCAAATTCCCGGGTTTTGCCTGTCACACGGCGAGGACCTCATCGATATCGGCATGAACCCCGATGAGCCCAGCGAGAGCAGCGAGGAGATTGCGGCCTCGGCACCCGAGCCAGGCATGGGGCGGCGGCGGAGGGGGTTTCGCTGATTTCCCATTGGCTTCCCACTGGTTCCGGGGCAACCCTTCACATAGGCAACCAGACTTCCTTGACTTCGCGGGAGGAAAATCATGGGAGGTTTTTGCAGGCGCAGTTTATGGTTTCCCTTTCCTTTTTGTCGGCGGTGTTAAATTATTCGGGACAATTCCAGCTTACCAGGGCAACTGGCGCTCAGAGAGCAGCTCTGACCGAGTGTGGGGAGTGCTTCTTAGGATGTGGGGGAAGCGGAAGCGGCCAGGCAACCCCGACGCTGCTGAAATGGACCTCCCCGACGGTCCTCCGGGTCCTCATTGGGAAGTGTACGAGGCTTTGCGGCAAATCGGGTAAAGACATGTGCTTCCTTCTTGTCGCTTGTATTGTTGATGGACTGAGAAGGTCGACGAAGCTCGAAGAGAAGAAACGCAACTTGTTTTCCGTTTGCAGTTTAAGCCATTTGTTCAAGCACTTGGTAGGAGAAGCATCCCCCAGGTTTCTTGTTCGGCTCCGGTGGTGTATGTGCCGTTGCTCTCCCTTGGCTGTTTTCGGGCCGCGGGTGTCGACTCACTCATTACCTCCGGGGTTTAGTTGGGGGCGGCAGTTGCAATAGGCATGCAAACATCACATGGCTATGGGTCAAAACCCCGTACCCGCAGTGAACATCCCAATCCCCACTAAAATAGACTAAAATGGGTGGTGCACCTACCCCAATATGGTACCATTGGTGTTGATCCACGGCCACATGTCGGCCAGTCCACATGCGAATGTCAACCTTATCGACTGAGCGGGTTTTGGAGTGGCTGCCTCGAGGGCTATCGCCCAGCGAATCTTTCCGAGGACGACTCAGGCACCACCTGGTGGTTCTACGATGGGCCGAAAGGCAGGGATGATCCCAGGGCTGCAGGCTTTGGTTTCAGTTGCAAGTTCTTTTGGAACGAAGTCCTTGGGTGAGTGATTTTGGGCAGCTTGAGTCAATCACTGGAAATCTGTTTTGCAGGGGACTCAAGCAAATGGAGGCTCAGGAGTCAGTGTAAGGGATCATCATTGCGCGTTGTGATTGACAACCTGTTCCTTGAGGGAGACGAGGTTTGGCTCATCAAGAGGGAGGAAATCCAATTGCTACCTAGCCCGCAAGTGCTTGAGTGGCAGCAACGAGTTCATTTTAGGTTTGTCAAGGATCGTCAGCAAAGCGATCGGCAGGCAAATGCCACTCTTTGGAACACCTCAGGCTGATCGATGTGTGTGACATGTGCGGGCATGTCGTTGGGACACTGTTGCAGCTCATGACGCAATGCCCCTGCGTAAGAATACTTATCATGATGCCCGCTTGTAGGGCAAATGTGGGTTCAAGTACCCACAGGATCAACCTGGACCATTTGTGTCAGCTCATTCACCTGGCGCAAGGCAAGTTTGCATGCCTGGGACCGGGGCAAGAAGTCCAGCCGATCACGCAGGATACGTGAGAAGTCTCACAGGAATCGAGCTAGGCTCTCGGCTTGCTTCTTTCATGAAGCATTCAACCTCCCGCCTGTTGCCTTGGCCCAATTTCGTGCCCAGAGGCAATTCGGCAGGTGTTCAAAGACGTGGACCGCCCCTCTTACACAGAGCTTGCCGGGTCCTTGCCACAATTTTAAAGGCACCACTGTGAGCGCCGGGGTGAAAGCTATGGGTTTGGAGATGGAGTGATTCCGTGAGCAATTGAATTGCCCTTTTGGCTTCTGAAAGGCACTGTTTTTCAAGGTGCCATAGGAGATAAACCGATTCGACTTCGAGACACCTGGCCAACCACCCCAAGTTGATGTGATAGCATTGGTTGCGTTTCCCTCCAGCCTTGACCCTTGCGGCAGGGTCAGCCCGTTGCGAGCTTGTGGCGCCTGGCGCCACCTATCTCGGAACGCTCGACTTGCTAGCTGGGCTTTGCTTCCCAGTTTTGGTTCCAAAGCACACTTACTAACTATTGCTGTTGCTAAAGGTCATGCAGTGCCACAATTCCAAGAGTCTGCAAGGCAAGGGGCCTGGCGATGGTTGCAGGATGTTGCTTAGGAAAAAGCGTGTGACGCCGCATGGCAGAGCGGGCCTCGGGCCTGATTGCGAGGCAGGATAGCTCTGGATATCGTAACCGGGAGCCATTCAGAGATCTTTGGATGATGGTTTAGGAGAGATGTAAGTGTCCACTTACACCGGGTGCTACTGTATCAGAGGCATGCGCCATTCTTCCGCCGTTTCTTTGGGACGCTCAGAGTGGAGCTGTGCACATGATATACAGATTGCCATGAGGAGAAACATAATTCGACTGCTTGAAGGCATCACAGTTTGAATCAATGCTGCAAGAGGTTGGGTGCGAAATTGAGGACACTTATTTGCTTGACGTGTTTTGCTTGGAGGCGAGCTGAATTGTGATTTGTTCTTTGTAGCAGCACCATATGGAGGTTTCTCACAGCAGCCTCTAAAAATGGGGTGTTTCCTTTGTTTTCCCTTTCACCAAACCAACAAAGAGTCCGAATCCCGTTTTGAGAACCTCCATGTTACGTTCACTATCGACAGCACTCGGCAGGATCGCGGACCCGAGCTCCTGGGGGAGCGGGAGAGGAGGCCTGGACAAAGCACGACTCCTGTAGGAAGCAGACAGCCCTCAAACAAAGCTCCCGATGTCCCCACCCCCTGAAAAATGGAATTGGGGAGGGGGTGACCCCTGGAATTCCATTGTGGTTCCATTTTCCCTTTTATGGGGAAGACTAGATAAATGGAATTGGGGACCCCCACCCCCCTACTGAAGCTGGGGGGGATCTCCCGGTCATTTTGAGATGGCCCGCGTCCACATCCATGCGCATGAACCCAACAGTTGCTTGCCTGAACACTGAAAGTCCTTGAGCTCCGTTTCGAGCTTGGTTTGTGCCACAACATAACCAAGCATTGCACAACCAAAGCACCAGGATGGGCCATCACTTGCTTGCATTGCTTTGCCTAAGCTGTGTTTCCAACTTTCTACAACGACTCCGCCTGCCAACGTTAGATGCCTGCTGCAGTGCCTGCTTGACATTGGAGTTCTCACAGGGCCATGGAACCTTGTTCCAGGTTGTCTCCAAAGCAACCCGCTTGGCTTCAGGCGCGAGGCATCACCCTGGCGCCGGGAAGGCACTATGGGCGGCAAAATGATGTCAGGAGTTTTGCGTCGTGAAAGTACTGCAATGGCCAGTAATTCATGGCCCTTGGCAGCTTCTATTGTCGAGTGAGTCGGAGTCATTGAAGTCTTTTGTTCGGTCCCGATTCCAAAGCTCCCGTGCAATAAAATTGATTGTCACCCAGCCTTGGTGATTCAAGATCCACCTTGTTGGGAGTTGGGAGGTGCGCTTTGCTCAACTTGTCATTCAACGGTTTGTTTGTTGAGCCCAGGAGTAATTTGTGTGAAACACCTAAAAGTACATCGGGGGTTGGAGTTGAGCCTAAAATAGTCTCTCAGCGATATTTTAGTGTTGGTGTAGTTTAGTATTAGTTTAGTATGTCCCTGGCTTGGGATGTTTTTTTCTTCACCCGCGGACGGGCCCTTTTAACAAACAGCTGAATTTCCTCACCCTTAAATTGATGCTTTCAGGGTTGAGAATTATGCCTCTACCTTTGCTTGAAGATTTTTATATACCTGGAGCCTCAAACTCCACAGAAAAGGGAACAATTTTAGGGGAATGTTTAGGTAGCCTCTTTGCTTGGTGGAATCGTTTATTTTCAGATTTTAGCATATCATCGATGAACTCATGCTCTCACTCGCTGGCAATACACCTCGATTTTGAGCCAAAGGCAGCTCCGGGCCGGAGAAACCGCGACGCTGTTTGTGTTTGAGTCCGAGCCGCTGCTTCCCAGCTAGGCTTGCAAAGCACCCATAAAGCACCCATGCCTTACAAGTCTGAAAGAACATTCACTTTGACGGGATATCTGTGACTTTCGGCTGAATCCCTAGCAATGTTTGATTGCGAAACAGCGGAGAGCGGGTCGGTTGCTGAGACGCGGCCCGCTCCGTCGCAGGGCCATCGCCCCGGTCAAGGCACGGCACCGGGAGACATCTTATTTGGGCTAATCCTTAATCCTTACCTTGGGTTATGCAAGGGGGGTTCTTTGTACAGGTTTCTTATAGGGACTATGGGTTTGGATTGGCCAACCCTCCATTTTGAAAAGCCCAGCTTGTGGCACCTCAGGAGCAAATGCAAGGCCTGTAGTCTTCGCCATGCTGTTCATTCCATTACTTCCATCCAACAAGTCGTTTTCATCTTATTACTTAGGTAGTTCATGTTGTTTCGTTCTTGTGTTGGCTTGACCCGGTCATTGTTCTGGCTGCGTCTTGTTGGACGACAATTCAATGAAGACGCCTTTTGTTTTGTCTGCCTATGATACTTCACGTGCCGGGCTCGCTGAAGCTTCAAGCTCTGAGGCCTACAAAGAAAGCACAAGCCACTCACCCGACATTCGGAGCTCGATGCAATCCGAGGAAACCAAGCGACCTGCCAATCACTCAACGTAGAGACTGAAATGCCCCTTTTTTTTGTCAGCATGTAAGCGAACGCAAAGATCATCGTAGCCTTGCCGGTCCACATCAGACCGCACCTTTTCTGCAATGGCCGGCCAATCAATCAATTCAAGGAAGCTCAAACCACATCAATGCTAAGGCTGCTTCAGCTTTTGACAAACCAGCAGATATGCTTCGGAAGTTTCTAGTCACCTGACAACTTGCATTGTGACTTGCATTGGAGCATGACCCCAAGCCATGTCGCGAGAGGTGGTCGGGTGCTCGGCAAAGGTCTTTGCAGAAGCATGTATTGGATTAACCAAATTAAATGCAGCTGACCACATGAAAGATTACTGAATATCCTGCATTGGTTTGGATCTACCCCATGACAAAATGAGCGGCTCGCCCGTTCTTTGGCTTGGCCGGCTGGCCTTATGCTTGTCAGGTCAGCATTCTATTTTGGCTGTCCCACCTACCCTTAACATGCTTTTGACATCGCCGTGTTGCAAGTGAGCAGGGTGCCGAAGACCAAGCGTGCTTGCTGCACCCAAGATGGCTTTGGCAGTGGAATGCTCAAACTCAGGGAGCTTTGCTTTTGATTGCTTCTAAGAGGCACTCAAAGCAAAACAACCAAGTCTTTGGTGGCGGCCAAACTCCACACAATTATGATTCAGGCCGATGCAGGTCTGGCAGCACAGTAGCTTAACAGCATTGAGGATTCAGGCTACCATCATCTTAAACTCGTCTCCCTGCGAGAGAGAGAGAGAGAGGGAGAAGTCAAGCATATCAATCTGCGACTTTGGAGCTGATCCAGCGGCATGCCCACGCTTGACCCTGGTTGCAAAGGTCCTGTCTCTGCATAGCGTGCACAATGCGCAGCCCTTGGCTGTCGGTTGTGAAAGGCCACTTTGACAAAACTGCCGCGTGCCAAAAAAACGATACACGATTGAGCAGGGCGACTCTCCAAGTGGAGGTTGATCAAAAGGTCCTGTACATGGGGTGACCATTAGGGAAACCACCAAAAAAGATGACGTGCACAACTAAATGGGAAGAGTTGCCCCAAGGCCATTTTGGGGCCGGACGGAGTATAAATCAGCCCCCAAGTGAACCGAACAGTTTTTGGACAGATCCCGCAATCTGAAGTGGTTGGGCGGCGCCCATATCCGAAGTGCCTAAACCGTCTGAGGTGAAGCACACGCCAGAGGAATCCTACTATGGCATGGCGACCAACCACACGGCTGAGGCGACAGTTCGGGTAAAGGCCGTCTTGCACAACTGTGAGGCAGTGTGACATTTGAAATTGGTTGCTGTGCACGTCCAAGGTGAGCATGGCGAGGAATCAGGAACCCTAAGATCTCAAGATGAGCAGGGCGCAAGGCTAAAAGTTTGCACATTGAGCAGCATACATTCATCTCTCAAGCTATCAGTCTGAATTGAAACAGTAGGACTGTGCTGTGGGCCGAGGTATTGGATGATGCCTTGCGGTACAAATCATGGGTTTGGCTTGAAGTTGTCATACGATTGTGGTTGCCACAGTGAATGCGCTTTGGTTGATCCAAAATTGCACCGTCCGCAGTGCCAGAGGGCAGGGTCCAAAGTTACCCTGGATCCCTTTGACCTTCTTGAATGTACTCCAAGCGCTTTAGTACTGGAAATATTAGGCGAAAAAATGTACCTAGATGTCTTCCTGCAAATTGGATGTATAGGAACGAGGGCGCCGTTTCGTCTTGTCGGAAGGACGAAACATGACTCCCTTCAGGCTGAGGTGGCAGTAACCTCCGCGCGCCCGGCGAAGCTCATGGCCGGGGGGGGTTGGGGGTCTGAGGGAAGATTAGACCATTTGTGGCGAACCGCTGCCTCCCTGAAGTAATAAGGGAAACAGGGGGGGGGGAGGGGGGGTTATGTGACTCACCAGCCCTTGTGGCAGGAAACTGGAAGGAACCAGGGTGCTTCTCTATGTTGGAAGCGTGTTGGTGTAGTATGACAATTAGGTAAGTGTTGTTATCTTCATGAGTGATTGTATGTCTATTAGTAATAGTGGAGTTAGTATCATTATGATCACCATTATTGGATATGATGATATCATGATGGTTTCGTGTTGTTCTTTAGTTATTGTCTTTTTTTTTTTACTCATTGACTTACATATGTGTTGTTATTGTTTCATTTATTCATGTTCTTGTTTTTTGTTTTGTTTTGTTTA